AAAAAAAAAAAAAAAAAAAAAAAAAAAAAAAAAAAAAAAAAAAACCAACTCCAGGAAATTACGTCTTTCCACGAGGAAAAACGAATGCTGAACTTTGCCCGATGCGTCTTCCGGAGTATTTTGAAGGCATTATTTCTGAGAAAGAATCGCTTGACAAATCGCGTCCAAATTTCCTGCAAATTCTGGGGAAATTTATTTCAAAGAATTATGTTATTTGAAATGCAGAACAATACACGGATTGCCACACCGCCTGTAAGCAACGTGTAAAGGAAGATTTTAATCTTCATAGAATATTGACAAATTTAAAATTCACAAAGTTAACAGCGCAACCAAACGGTTACTCTGCTCATCTTCTTGATAGAATCATTCTTGTAACGCTTACATCGAAATGTACGTTTCATGAAGATATTTTAAAAAAATCATGCATCATTAATATTCATCAGTGAATGGAGGACATATTCTATAAGGATTGTTGAAAGTCCACGAAGTTTGGCGGAAAAAATATAGAGAAACCCCGCAATTCCGCCGCGGGTCACACATATTCACAAACATGAGGGACGATCTGATTTCCTCGGTATTACAGAGAGGGGGAAAAGCAGGAATTCTGATTTCAGCTCGCTTTTTTCCTGAATATTCCGTATAAGCAGAACGGAGGCGTGGTAAAATATTTATCTGGTAATTTATGCAAGATTTTCTGTTCCGTGTAATAAAGGAGGGCTTGGCGAGTTTGTCTCTATTTTCCCTATATTCATTCTTCTTCGCTTTCTTTTTTTTTTTTTATGAGGAAGGACATTTTGTTTTCCGCGTGAAATCAGCGGGATGAATGCGATCCCACATACAACTGTGTCGGATTATTTTAAAGTTGGCAATGAAGAACCCAGGAATTTGCAGCGTACTCAATGACGTACAGAAAGGATACGTAGTAGGCAAATTTCTGCAATAATTTGTGGATTCGATGCTGACCAAACTCCGCAAAAATAACTAGGCAGAAAAGACAATTGGAATGCAAATTCCTTTTCAGTTGTTTAAACTTTTAACATGGTCGTAATATTATATTTTGCGAGCCAATCGCGAGAAAGTGCGGTTACTGTATTTTACTTGTTTCAAAATTCAAGGGAAAAAAAGCTGCAACAAGATTTGAAGCTTCGTCATGATTTCCGAACCGAATTCGTTTTTATCCCATCATCATCCTTGAATTTGTTTCCACTTTCTTCACCGAGAAACGATCAAAATACATGTCGACGAAGCATCTGATGGGGTTTCCGGCTTTACTTCTCACCATTTATTGAAATCGCTCAATCCTTGACCGAAGTTCAATGTCGGCTTCGCATGCGCCGATATTCCGTCATTATTTTTTTAGCATCATAAATAATAAAAGGATGAAATAAATTTTTCCGCGATGACTGTTTATTCTTTCTGGATAAACTTTTCACACGAACGATAATTACTTTATTCGCCAATTTATCTGCGAATTGTTAAAATTACGGGAAAAAATGATTTTCATTAAAATGAAACCGGAAAATATCTTCGTTATGCCAACATTATCTTAAGCTTGTCCCTGAAAAGAAACCACTGTTACTCTTGAAAAATTTTTGCACTGTAATCTATTTCGATACCGGCCACCCTGAAATTAGAGAATGACCTCAATTCCCGTGGAGAACATTGGTTAGAAAATTCTTATTCTCGGGTATTGCCGGAAATTCTGTTTTCGGCCACTAAAATGCGTATTCCAAAACCTTCTGTAAGTGGGAATATGAAAGCTTCTGAGGTGCGAATTTCCTGCTAATGGTGTCATTTTTTATCGTAACAAACAAGTCACACTTGTTCAAGTAAAACATTGAGGGATATAAGATACACCAGAAGAATTCAAATTAGGAGGTTTTGAGTTGGGGCCTTGGGGAAATGAACATTTTTAAAGGAGAAAAGGGAGAAGATTCATAGGGTATTGTAATAAAGTATTCTAAGTCTTAAATTTATTCATAAATGAGTTAACAGAATGCTGAACTTGGATATGAGGCAATGGTTCATTTGCTCAATCAATCTTCCACTTCCTTTCAAAATGCATCAAGTAGTATTCGTAGTTTTTTCTGTTTCCTGTGTCAGTAAAATAGTAGCCAAAAGACCTCCAGAAAATTCAAGTGGAGAGGTTTTGAAGGGAGGGGGGGGGGTCTTCAAGTTGGAGATGTTTTCGTTGTATTGATTCTAAAGATATTCAGACACGACCTTGGAAAAATAAATTCGACATAGTATTTGACTTGAGGAGGTCCGACTTATTGAGGTTCAAATACACCTAAAAAAATATTCAACACAGGAATTTTTTAACTTGTCTGATTCTTGCTGGCCCGAATTTCGAAACAAGGCTCAAGTGTTTCAACACTGAAAAATACAATATTCAACTTTTTTTTTTTCAAGCTCTGGTTCTTGATTCTTTGGATTTGATTTACCATTTTTACTCAAGTAGAGTAAAACATGCCCCAAGGTTCCTGTAAGTGGGAATATGATACAGTATTTCAAAGATAAGAACACCCAAAATTGAATTTAGACATGATTTGACATTAATTTGAAACATTTTCAATTGTTTCCATTTTTGAAAAAAAAAATTTCTGCTGAACTTGGTCCAAAATTTCCACTTGGAAACTATAGTACGATCAAACCCCGATTTAGTGGCTTGGGGGAATAACAAAAAAAGTCCTGGAGAAGTTGATATAATGGCCAAAATTTAGCACAATGTGCCATTATACCACTGATACCCATCTACAGGGATGTGATTCATAAAAATGAAATAAAATGGAGCTATACCTGTGTCCAATTTTGATAATTCAATGCATTCTCAGACTAAAGAATACTGTACAGTACAGCAAATTCATATTTATGTTGATCACAGCAGTGAAAAATAGAATTGTCTTGAATGATTATACTGTATTTCATCCAACATGATGAGAACGTATAAGAAACCTATAATTACAAGAGATAATGATGCAATTACAGTACTTGTACTAACATTTTTTATTAACTATTGGTACTGTATACTGCACTCCAAAATTAATGAGAACCCGGCAAAGAATTGTGACATTTCAAAACGCATTGTCAGGGCGTTGCAATGCCATTTTGGCAAGACCATTTCAAAAATGTCATCTTGGTTGCCACTGAATGGGTCGCCCCCAAACGTTGAGGGGACACGTTGGCAAACGCGCTCTCATCCCATTGCCAATGGCATTGAAAACTGTTGATGCAGGTGGGGGCACGTTTCAGCCTCAGAAGGAGAACGCCGTTGGCAAGGTGATGCAAACGCATTCCCAAAACGCCATATCCAATAAATGTATGAAAATAGTATACCCCACATAGTATGACGCAAATGCCCTTTTTTCCTCCGAAATTCAAGGAAAAAAAATCAGTAAATACGCTGGTATTATCGGGAGGTTTCGAGTTATTCGGCTTCACTATTGCATTATAGAAATAAGCAATTGCAATACAGTATTGGCATTTGGGTGTGATAACGGGACTTTTTCGCTGTATTGATTCGCCAGCTGTGCAACGAGGTCGGATACCACCGAGCCAGCACGGGATGCCCGGCCACTTCGCCCTGACCAACGGCGAGGCCCTCAATGGCCATTCGTACCTCAGCTCCTACATCTCGCTGCTGTTGCGGGCAGAGCCTTACCCTCCGGCGCGGTACGGGGCCGCGTCGCCCGGTGCAGCCGGCGCCACGGGCCCGTCACTGTGTGCCACCACGGCCCTGCACCAGCACCACCAGCACCCGCACCAGCAGCAACACATGCTGGCTGCAGCCGGCGGCGGCGGCGCCACGGGCCCCACCAACAACACCGGCAACGGCAACAACAACGGCGCCTCCATGATGGGCATCGACGGCATCTGTGAGCTGGCTGCGCGGCTCTTGTTCTCCGCCGTCGAATGGGCCCGCAACATTCCCTTCTTCCCCGACCTGCCAGTCACTGACCAGGTCAGTATCGTCACGTCTGCCCGAAGCCAATTTGTTTTTCTCTGTCTCATTTTTATTTTATTTTTTTATTTTTTGCATATACGAGGGTTTTCCCAGTTGGACCTTGAACGCTACAACTGGGTCCAACTCTATAGTATGGAAAATTTGAGGTCTAAAGAAAAAATTTGATGCAACATGCTGCGGGCTTTCCTGACTTATTGTCAAGAACTGAATTTCTTTCAAAACAATATAAAGCGCAACAATTAAAGTTTTTCCATTGAACCCCTGATATTTAATACAGAGTAGGTGTGATTGTAAAATAAAATCATGGCATAGCCCCATAAGGTTCTATGAGTACGGGGATTGTTTTCAATTTTTCAAATTTAAATTGTTTTCAATTTAAAAAGGTAGTTCAATTCACTGAATGATGACACGTGACAACTTTTAAATTGTAGCCAGAGCTCTCAGCCCATATCACAGAGTGCAAAAAAAATGTGTCAGGCCACCTATAAGCTGAATTTTTGAGTATGTTGACCATTACCTAAAATGTAGAAAGGATAGTGGGTAAAACTTTAAAAAAATTTAGTTTTTTAGCTGACCTGACAAATTTTAGCACCCAATGACATGGGCGGAGAACTCTGGCTTCAAATGGAAAGTCTTCATTCATCATCATGCAGTAAATTTAAAACTTCTGTTTTATCTGAAAAATACCAGAACCTTGAAACATAATGGGGCTTTGTCTTGATTTTATTTTACAATTTCACATAATTTTTAAATACAGTATCAAAGGTTGCATCCAAATGCAACCACCTTATGTCCTGGTCATAAGATTGGGTCATACCCAGGATTTTCAAATTTTGTTCTTGCTGTGAATTGTACCTTTTGATTAGAAAGTCAGCAGCCAGAATGTCCACGTTTTTTTTTTATAAAATTTTCCTACAGACTTTGATGCAAACATTTTAATTTCTGCGAATTGTTCGGTTTCGAAAGAAATTCAGTCAGAAAATCCGCATGTTGTATAAAATTTTTCCATAAACTCCAATGGATTTTTCTTCATTTCTGCTAATTGTATTATTTCAAAAGAAATTCAGTCTTTTGGCCGGCAGAAAATTTGCTTGTTGAATCAAACTTTCCTATAGACCATTTGAGAACGTTTTACTTACTTTTCATGCTTTGAGAAAAAATATGGGGAAAAGTCCTTGTGAGGATCATAACAGTTTTTCTCAGCTTTAAGATGAAGAAAATAACCATGTATGTTAGAAGACCAAAATCTGCCCCTTTTGCGATGAGAAGAAATAAAATGAATTTTAAATAAATATTTACTGTCCATGCATTGTCGTTTATACACGTCTTTCAAAAATTTGACACTTTTGCTCAGTCAAAAAGCGAACCATTTGCAAATCTCGCGTACCACCTGAATCACCACCAGCTATGCTAGCAAAGGCCCCCTTTTTTTTTTATACGGTTGACAAAAAAAGAAGATGCATGATGCATGCTGTGAACCATTTCATTTTGATGATTATACAGTAGTAGCACAGTAGACAGTACAGTACTTGATGATAACCCTTCCCCGTATTTTGCGCATCGTTTCCCCTCGTACAGGTGGCGCTGCTTCGTTTGGTGTGGAGCGAGCTGTTCGTGCTGAACGCGTCCCAGTGTTCAATGCCGCTGCACGTGGCGCCGTTGCTGGCGGCAGCGGGGCTCCACGCGGCGGCCGTGCCGCCAGGCGCCAGCCCGTCCGCCCCCTCCGCGCCCGGCATGACGATGACTGCCGACCGCGTGGTGGCGCTCATGGACCACATCCGCGTCTTCCAGGAGCAGGTGGAGAAGCTCAAGGCCCTGCATGTCGACTCGGCAGAGTACTCGTGTCTCAAGGCCATCGTTCTCTTTACCACCGGTCAGTACCTATACACCAATCGTACCTTGCAGTTAAACGAGGGTCCCTGCTGTATAAAAAAAAAAAATTAATAAGACACCCCGACAGCAAAAACTCTGCTTTGCGAAATTTTGGAAGGAAAAAGGCGACTCATGTGACCAGCTATACATTTTTTTTGGCAAAGAAAATTTTCCAATTTTGAGCTTTAAAAAATTTGAAGTTTAATACTTTAAATAAGTAAAAAAGGGTAGAGTTTTCCTGGAAACAAAACACGGATGTCGGTCGCAACCGAAGTGTTTTTGAGATCGGTCCAGAGAAAAACACTAGCATAAGCGAGCAGTTGAAAAAAAAAGCCCATCCTCAAATATCGATTGAAGCGGATTGAATTTTCATTAAAATTCGAAAGGGCGTCATGTGAAAACTTACCCCCGAGAGATGAGATCGCTACTGATAAGGTGTTAACTGAAGGAATCAAAGATGTTTCCACGCTTCGCTGGATGAGGAAGTCATTGAAGATACCACCGGTCAGTACCTATACACCAATCGTACCTTACAGTTAAACGAGGGTCCCTGCTGTATAAAAAAAAATAAAAATAAGACACCCCGACAGCAAAAACTCTGCTTTGCGAAATTTTGGAAGGAAAACGGCGACTCATGTGACCAACTCCACATTTTTTTTGGCAAGGAAATGTTCCAATTTTGAGCTAAAAAAAAGTTTAAATTTAATACTTTAAATGAGTAAAAAAGGGTAGAGTTTTCCTGGACTTATGGATTATGTTGATCAGCCTAGATCAGTGTTGTTCAACCTTTTTGTGCCTGCGGACGAGCAAATTTCCATAAAATTGTTTGCAGACCTGAAAATTCTCAAAACATTTCTGCAGACTGGCAAAGGTTGATAAAATGTGTGCACACTCAAAAAAGTTGTGCTTGAAAGACTTTATGGTAGGTGATTGAACAGTTTCTGCTTGTTGCAAAAAATAAATTATGCACTTCTGAAGCAGCTATAATTGAAAGTCATCAAAAATTAAAAATTTGGGCTTGAAAAAAGGTTTCTTAGAATCAAAAATTAAAATAGTTTATTTCAGCAGGTGACAGACAATTTGTCTGAAGTGTTATTAGAAGAAAATCAAAATTGTATCATCAGATAATTTCAACTGGCATTGTCTTTCCAAAATTTCAGATGAGCATAATAGACACTTCGTTGTCACGTTTGTAAAATTTATTTTGTTGAAAATTTCTGATGGACTGGCAAAACACTTCTGCAGACCAGCGCCAGTCTGTGGACCATAAGTTGGGGAACACCGGTCTAGATTATTTAATGTTAAGTTTTCTTGGGCACTGAATTTTTCAAAAATATCCTGGCTCTGCTTGAGAAGTTCCACTTGGAATAGCTGCTTACTTTGAAAAAAAAAATTCCACAGGACCTAAGCAACTTATATTGCATCAATTTTAAAATATTTTTTTTATATTGTATGTACATTAATTTTTAATTGGACCAAAGAATAGGTAAGAAGGTCTCAAAGTTGTGTTGTCCAGAATAAAATCAGTATGAGAGGAACACATCACCACTTTCCTTTAAAAAAAAAAAAAACAGGGTGCCCACTTATTTTTATCAAGGTTGCTTTAGAGAATTTGGATCCATCATGTGTATCATGCACAAAGTGTCAACATAGTACAGTATAAAGGAAGATTTGTTCAGGTTTTCTGAATGTGGACTTTCAATTGAGCGTTGGTCAAGCCTTGCAAAAAACCTGACCCAAACAAAGTGTATCTACAAATAAGACAAGATTGGAAGAATTCAGGTAGCAAGAAGTGCAGTACTTGCATGTTTAAAAAAAATCCTCACTGGATGGAATATGCAAATCTGGGCAAGATAGACGAAAATTGGCGTGAAAACGATATTTATAAAATTTGCCAGATTCTATAGCGCATGGAGATTAGAAACAGGCGTTTGGTTCATAATTATTCTTTTTATTTCTTCTGTTGCTTTTGGTCATGATTACACGCGTCGGAATAATTTATTGAATTTTTCAACGTAAGAAAGAAACAACTTTTGCATTTTTGAGCTATTCATGAAACGAGAAACGGCCTTGAATTATTGGTGCCTGACAATGAACATGATTTTCCGCTATTTGCAAATTTAATTCGGAAAATTCAGATTGATTTTTTCCGTTGAAATTCCACATTTTCCCAAATCGTTTTTGCTACCAATGCAGATTTGTTTTGTTTTTGCAATGGCGGCTTAAAACCCGGGTGCGGTTTTCAGCAGTTGCGCGAGTACAAAGAAAAATGATTAACCTCCACAAGTTAGGCCATATTCTCCAACTCAAACATTCCCTGAGTTATTTGAGTCTTTTGAATTTAACTTGAATGAAGGAGTTCAACTGAATATTATTGCATTGTTGGGAGATCTGCCATCAATAACCACGGACTATACAAACTCAGAATGTTGCTTTGCAATAGTATTATGCAGCAGTTAACTGGACATTGAAGGCACATAAAAGGATATTTTCTGATGCTAGGTGGTACCACATGACATGACACACACATTAAGGATGCCAATAAATTATCTGCAGCATGGTTTATAAAACTGTGGTTTGCAACTCATGGTCTGAGGACCAGCTCTGGTCTGTAGAACTTTTTTGCTGGTCTGCTGGACATTTTATTCACCATAATAAAATTTATCAAAGTTCTTTTTGGAGTCTGCTATCTTATATTTGAAATTTTGGAAAGACAATGTCAGTTTAAATTATCTGATGAAAAATAAAAGTTGAATTTTATTCTAATAACACTTCAGACAAATACTGTAATAACCTGCTGAAATATATTATTTTATGCATGAATTCTGAAATACCTTTCTTGAAGCCCACAGCTTTTTACATTTTTGAAGGCATTCAACTATAGCTGCTTCTTTGGTAATTTTCCTTCGGATTGCAGCAGGATGCTTTCCATCCCATATCGAAGTCAGGATTTTTCCCAAGTCAGGAGTCAGGACCTTGGATGGAGAGGTTTAAGTCAGTAAAAATCTGGATAGAGAAAATCCTATTGTCTTGAGAAATCTCCAATTTATATTCTGTGACAGGAGTGCTGAATGGCACCCAGGGAGGAATCCTTATACTGTATTTTTCAACCCAAAAAAATCTGCGGGAAGGGAAAAGAATCATTTTAATTTTTCCTAACTTAGGCCTTGGTTCAAAACTTATATTTTTTGTAGCACTTATGGGCACACCATTTTGCGAAAATATCCCAACTTGGCCGCAGAAGGATTGAGTTAGTTTTTTTAATAAACGTTTTGATTATTGGAAGACTTTATGGCAGATATTTTAAAAATTGCTGCTTGTCTGGAGAAATCTTATGGAACTTATTTGACAGTCCAGGGGCTCAAAAAGGTTTTGGATCACTGGCTTAAATTGTCTTCCACACTGAGGCAAGGAATGTAACATTGTGAGACTATGAGAGCATACAGTTCAGAAAATACATTTTTATTTGCTGCGCTCATGGGCACAACATTTTGGAAAAAAATATTACAACCTGGCTGCATATGGGATACCTTAATTTTTAAAATAAAAATGTTTGTCCAAGGACTGAATGGCAGGTACTGTATTTAAAAAACGTCTGCTGGTCTGCAAAAATTGCACAGAGCTTTGCCAGTCCACACAGGCCCAAATCGTGGAATACTGGTTTAAATTGTGATTTCACTGACAAGGAATGCAACATCGTGAGCCTGTGAGAGCATACAGATAAATGATTTGTACTGTTCTGTATTTTGCAGACGCTTGCGGGCTGTCGGACGTGTCGCACATCGAGTCGTTGCAAGAGAAGAGCCAGTGCGCCCTGGAGGAGTACTGCCGAACCCAGTACCCGAACCAACCGACCCGGTTCGGGAAACTGCTCCTGCGCCTGCCGTCACTCCGCACTGTGTCCCCGCAGGTCATAGAGCAGATCTTCTTCGTGCGGCTCGTGGGCAAGACGCCGATCGAGACGCTCATTCGCGACATGCTGCTCAACGGCGGGTCCTTCAACTGGAACTATTCGTCGGCGGCCGCCATGTGAGCGCGCGGCGGCTCGCGTCAACAACTTTACCCCCCCCGCGCGGCGGCGGCGCTGATGCGTGCGGCTCTCACTCAAGCGTCCGTTCTTCGTATTGCGCCTAAATTCGGGCGGTGGATATTTGTCAGTACAGGGAACGATTCGTCTACACGGATTCTTTAAATAGGAAACCCAGACACCGCCAATACCAGGAACCCACCGCAATAAAATAAGCAGAGCTGCATTTTTCCGAATAAGATGTCGCCCGAAAGTTCTCTGATGCCCCCGCAGCGGGAAGCCCACCAAATTTTTCAACTTACATAGATGATGCAAAAAGCGTACATATACTTAATATCGATGCAGATTAAAAAAAAAAAAGTTCGTATGAATTCATGCTTCATTGAAAAGAGGAAATTTTAAATTTTTATTGTGCCCCCGGTACACACTAATAAAGTACATTAATAGGCTTTAAATAGTTTGAACCGATCACGTTGAAGAAAATCTATCGTGTGGTGTAAGTTTTATTGTTGTAAGGTTTACGATGAATTAATAGTTTTTTTTCATTCATTTCATGCAAGAATAGCACACAAATTGGAAAAGTTTTGTTCTAGCCAAATCCGCTGATTTTTTTGCAGACAACAATAAACAAAGCTGTCGGCAGAAACAAATCCGCAGAAGGACTTTTAAAAGAGAAATCTGCGAATTTATTCCAAGATTTCAAATAATTGATTTTCTCGGCATTGTGATTATAGTTTCGATTCAGCCGCACGATTTGCTAAAAATATAGTATGCGTAAAATACATAAGTGGAAAACGCCATTTATCGATCATCAAGTAGCGGATGGGTCAAGGTCGTCAATCGTTCTCAAATGGTCATTTTAATTGAAAATAATGCCGTAAGTATATTTTCTGTTGAAACAGAAGTGCAAAAATGTACGGGTTCAGAAAATTTTCATCCGCTGATCTCAACTGGGCGATTTGCAAAAATAAAAGGTTTCTCACGCTGCCTGATTATTCGGTAAAAAAAGTCAAGTCCAGAGAAAGTTTTCGAATCATTCTATAATATAGTATCAATAAAAAAACGGACTTAATTTACGAAATCTACGAAAAATATTTCAATAAATACTGTTTACTACTTAGCCTTTCTTGCGGTAAATTGCAGGAACATGACTCATTTGCCCAAACATAAGGTTCCCTTACAAGTTCTTAATTTGTTATTCATGCATAACGATGCTAATACAGTATTCATATTTTCGGTCAGATAGATATTTCGAGAAGAAGAACTCACAAGCAAAAATTCCTCGGTACGTAGCATACGTACATCGCAGATTCTGTAACTGTCCCAGTTTGCGGTAAAAATTATCATTGTAGGATACACAAAGCAATAAGTTGTTGGCGAAATATTTCATCCCCATGGTATGGAGGCGACTCCTTTATACAGTATTCAGTTAATATTCATTGAGTGTTTATGGACATTCGAAATTATTGTGATTTTATCAACATCTTTTTGCGGACGCTCGAGTGAGAAAAGCTGCGAGGTTTTTTTTTTTTTGAATTTTAGTGTGCTCGCGTTGATGCCAAAGCAGTTCACCAGTGATCCTTCTGTCATCTCAGTTGTGATCCCGGGTTGAGCCCGGGCGTTCACGTTATATCCGTTGACCTGGCGCTGAATCGATTTAGCGAGAGAGGAGCCATTCCTTTTCATTATGTCAAAGGTTTTTGAGTGCAAGGACGAGTTGAAAAATCGGAAAATACATTGTTGTTCGCTGTTCTGAATGATGGTGATGCGTTTGCTTGATCAAATCTTGGCCGTCTCAGAGATTTTATTACGCGACACCTCCCGACGCATCTTTGACATTGATTATGTGGATACAAGAAACTGTCACAGATGTCACTCGTGACCCACGAATCGCATAGCTCGTGTATATCGAGTATCGACAGACATCGATAACCTACATTCTGGCACAGCTGGATGCTCGTAGTTATCTGGGAAGGCCTTTTCGCCTTTAGTAAGAAAACAAGAAATGTGCCCAAATGCGTAATCCTCTCTGCATCGAATTTTATAGTTTCTTAATTGAATTTTGAGAGTCAATCCAACATGGGTTACCCATAGTTCTACTTCTACACCATCAGGCTTTACAGCCCTGTACATGATTTTTTTAGAACAGTTTTTAATACACCTTTTCATTCCCCTCCTCTTCACAATCGGAATTACTGTCGATATTGCCAAGTTCATACCGAACAAAGGTTTTATATCCACTGCTGGTACAGTATTCACATTTTATCTCGGTCTTCCTCCTCCGAAGCGTGGACCCAAAATTATAGATTTAAAAATCAGCCGCCGACATCCGCACATTCCTAGAAGCGGAGAACCATATCACTTTCGAAGATATCGTTTCGTTATTTACCGAAATACTCGGAAGAAATAAAAAATCTCCCATGAAAACTTTCAACGTACACGCGACGCAGCAAAGCCGTACATACGAGAGAAAGCATACGAAAATATTATCACGAGTTTGAAGATAGCTTCCCCTTCCCTCGAAAGCTTTCAGCAGAATTAATCTGCTTTAATTGAATGAACCAATTAAATTAGCTATTCTTTTATCTTTTTGGTGTTCTTAATAAGAAACATGTAAGTTTGATACGAAAATAAATTTAATTTATGCTCAGCACCTCAACTGTCTCCACGACGTTTTCGTGGCACGAAAACGGAAGCGTTTCATAGAGTAAGATTATTCCCAAAAATACGAAGCAGCGAGAAATGGCGATAGTTTCAAAATAGATGAAAATTTCTCCATTTCATTCCTTAGTACATCGACAGTATTGACAATTGTTCCTATTGCTACACATAATTCTTCGGAAAATCGGTGAGAATCACACAGGCTAGGTTCATGATTCATAACAGAAAAGACGGGTGAGAATTCAAGTTTAATGCTTTTTGCATTTATTCCTGTGTGCAGAAGTCTAAAAAAGTTAGTACAGGCAAAGCCAATTGCATGCGGATCACACAGATAAATCACTTTGAAAATTACGAATCATCAAGAAGCAATTGTGGCACAGAAATAAGGAAAACCAGACGAAATCACTGGAGTGCCACATTACTCATTTTGAATTTCGGCTCGAGGAAAAGGAGATTTGGAGAATTGTTATTCGTCACTATTACACACTTCCAATCCCGTGTAGGATTTAGAAGAACAGTCGATAGTGGGCCTCAGATACTAAGGCACGGGTTCGCACATGTCTGCTGTCTATCAGTGGCACCCAGTTCAATACAGTGGATAGTTAATAAAATGCTAGAAGTAGTCAACGATTACGTTCGATCCAGGAAATGGTTCCTAGGCGATCAGGATTTTAGCGACACCCATCGCATCGCAGAAATCCTGCAGCCCATGGCCATTATCGAACATGACGCACTCAGTCGATTTTAATGAACCAATCCGATGGTGAAAATCCCGTTCTTATCGTATCGCTGCGGTTGGCCGAATTTAGTAAAATTATTGCCCTTTGAACCACCCGACTCAAAAACGAGCTGAACCACGACGTGCACCTTTCGCAAAATTAGAAGGACATGCACCTCTTCGCAGACCGTTGACCCCGAGCAGTCGCCTGCCCACGGAACACAGATGCCACGCAGAAAGTGCAAATTCAATAGTAAAACCGACAAATTTATACTTTCGAAAAAGAAGTTCCTTTTTCACACGAATGGAGCGCTCAACAATTGACTCGCGGAAAACAAAACCCTCCCAGAAACTTCAGGGTTCCAGAAATAAAACCGTCACAAACATCACAACGCTTGGTTCTCACGGGTTCCGATTCGCAGACATATCCTTCCTCCCGCACTAATCCTAAGCTCTCCAAAAATTGAATAAATCGTTCAGGGAACGGTTCCGACCGGGCCAAAAGGAACACGATACTGCGCATTATAAGACTTATTCAGTCTGCCCTTACAAATAATTCAGAACACTCACCGAAGCGCTCTTCCCGGCAACTCCTCGCAAAACATTAGGAATCGAAAGTCACAGCAATCACGAAACAAAGAATTACCCTCAATTTCGTCTCGAAATCAGAAAAAAAAACAGCAATCGTAATTTCTCCAACTCAGACCCCGTCAGATAAAACTCTTCGCCAAACAAAATCAAAATAATGAACAAAAATCAGGCAGTAATTTCTAACCTGCTCCTCACAGTCCGGTTCCCGCGCCGCGGAGGCTTTCTCGTATCACACAAAAAGCATGTCGCAGAGCGAATGAACTCTGAGATCTCGAGTAATCGAACAGCGTCGAAAAAAATATGCTAAAGCATTCGGCGCTTAACCATCAAATCTGGTCTAAGTAAACTCGAGAACACAAAATCAAACAGCGAACGGGCTCACAGAGGTGGTCCGGAAATTCGGTAGAAAAATGGCGCAGATGATTTGAGCACATCGGAAAGTCAATAACAAAGCTTCACGAAGGGACCGGATGAAATTCTTGGCACAGGAAAAGATGGGCGAAAATCACACGAGAGAAGCCTAAATCAATCTCACGCACAGCCTCCACATTTACGTCTCCGGGCATGAAAATCCGCAGTCCGCAGATATACCGTGTCTGGCAGAAAATAAATATTCAAGATCTCGTCTCCAACAAGAAGTTAGGGGTGAATAAATCTTACACACGAAGATAAGAGAGCACAATATAAAACATTGAATTTCAAAAAAAAATACCGCGGTCTTTAGACATCCATGAGATGAACGAGCCGGACGATATCGGCCAAGAAAATAACTTCAAAGGATAGAATACAGTGGACAGAAAATCGGGTCAGGACGTTGTATTGGCAGAACGGAGTCAATGCGAATTATTTTAAAATCTCTCACGGAACCGAACGAAAATTTGCATGAAAACAAATACTGAACGCGAAATAAAATTGTCGTCACCGGAAACTTGACCAAAAACTAAGTTCGAGGTAATGCCGATCCACTTCCAGTCAGATATCCAGTCAAATACGATTAAAAGGAAGAAATATAATTTTTTCCCTTGCTGTTCAATACTATACCTCAATTCTAACCATACTGTGTTATTAAACATAAATGATCACATGACGGACAATAACATTATTCTCGAACAAACGATTCAACTTTGCGAAAAAGTAATGACGTAGGAATATAGAACGGAGAAAATTGCAGAAAAATAATCCCTTACCGAGCTAACAAAAGAAACATTTCCCTTAAATCAGGACGTCGCAAAATAGCGTAAAGCCAATCCGACCAACAAATGTTCTTCATACTCTCATGAGATCCATACAAGCTCAGATGCAAATGTCACGCTGTCGAGCATCACCCACCCAACGATTATCTGTCCCAATGCCACTTCTACTTTTCTGACCCACATTCAAATCCCACACGGACTTATTCTTCTTCTTACTACGTTTTTTAGCCCCAGACGGCTTTTGTTTCTGCTTTCCAGGACCAGCCTGGACCCAGGTTACATCGTCGTCGCAGGTGAACGAATGCCTCCGCGCAGGCAACACCGTGGTCTGCGTCTCCGCCGTTAAATCACTCTTGAGCGACTGTATCGCAAAATCCGTCGTCATCGGAATTTTCAAAAGCGAGTCTGCAGCAACGTGATTCACTCCGTTGCTTATTTTCTTCAGCAGGCCGTCATCAGGGATATCGGCGCCAGAAATAAGTCGCAGCCTAGTCTGGTTTACTTCGTCTCCAGAATAGCTAGGCGCTCTACTGCGTGAAACAACCGTCGGCAATAGTTGGATCCGTCTCGACGGAGAGGAGCCACTTGAAACGGGAACGGCGCGTCCACAAACGACACCAGCTCGTAGCGGAGATTCGAGCCACGCGTAAGAATTCCGCTTATTTGTGGGCCGCATTACAACTGGAGCGACAGTTGGATCTGGCCTTGTAGTAGTTGTTACAGGCGGTGCGGTTTCACTGACTGGGGCAGGACTTCTTTCGGTCCGACAGAGACGCCAAGAAAGGAATATTATGAAGATCATGAGCACTTGTGACGCGATGAAGACTCGCGAAGACACAGGCTGCAAAAAGAAAGGAACAAAAACTTGAAAAAATAATCGTCGCTGAAAAGACGAAAATCTCAAAGTATTATTCAGGGCATACGAAAAGTTGCCATGTCTTGTCCGTTTCAACTACGAATTGGTTCAGCGTGGAGCTTTCACATTGTAAGTACGATCTTTAGACTGCTATCTTACAATCCATCTACTCTTGCACTCTTCCTCGCCGCTACAGTGATATTCAGTACAAGAGCAAATGGGATTACCAAGCAAGAACGATCTCCGCTTAATTATCGCCTCACTTTCGTACAGATATTCCCCATGGACCTTCAGCATATCCACCCCGAATTTCGATTCATTTCTGTACCCTTTACGACCAAGATTAGATTCACACCAAAATTACGTACCTTACGTTCATTTACATTAAGTAAATTTCGGACACTTCCATGACTCCATCACAATTTTTAATAGGAACAACAATTTCAAAAGCAGAACCCCTTAAATGCAACTAATGGAAGCTAAGCAAACGAAGATTTCAAGACGAATCTGCATCGGATTTTAGATTTTGGTATTTTAAGAACAGAATCTAGAAATAAGACATATGCTTCAATTTCTTCATCAATGGAGCCTAGTGGCTAAAAATAGAGCAAGAACTCACCGCATTGCTTTCATAGGATCCAATACGAGACAATGCGCTGGCCAACGAAGTATTCACAATTTCAAGTTGGCTTTTCAAAGAATCTGAAACAGCAGCGTAATCGCTCACTTGCTGCTGATACTTGTTCACTGCCTTCGTCAAATCTTCAACCTGCCGTTTATATCTCTTGCTCAACTCGTCCAAGTAGAGTGAACTCAGGGTAAGATTGAGTTCTAAAGCCTGAAAAGAAGCAATCACATGCGATGGGTTACTTAAGAAAAATTCTTGCGAAGGCAAGATAAATTCTCTATACAGTACGCAGATCAATTCTTCAGCTCTTCACACGAAAAAAAAAATGCCACAGGTGAATTACACCGTCCAAAAGCCAGAAAATTCAGAAACTACCACAAAGAATGGACAGATGTGTGCAATGTTTCGAAACCACCTTCAAAAGGATTATGTTCCAAACAAGCCGAAGACCCAAGCAGATTTGTATGAAAATAGAAAAATATGCACCTCAAACAAAATACTGTACTGACATTTCCGAAAAACGTTTGCCTCATACAGATAACTGAAATTACATTACATTTCTTTACCTTCACTCTGTTTGTTAACCGCAAAAATGCAGTTTCCTTGTTCCCTGCGGGTTGATTCGCATTCGGCAAATTCTGCATGATGACAAATCCATTACCCTCCGTTTCTGATTTCACTGGCTTGGCTTCTTGTAGAGGCTCGAGAGTTGTCTTCGAAGACAAGGTATCTTCCGCCTTCGCGACAATTGTGGCATCATCATTATCAATAACATTTATCGGCTTCGAATCCACCACAGATGGCATCATAACGGAAACAGTTTCCGTAGGCTCATCACTCGGAGGTAGTTTTTCCCCTGGATCAACAAAGCTCGCGTCTGTAGGGACCGACGTGCTCGACGGAATGACGAGCGCAGGAGCGATGTCGACCATCGGAGAGGATTGAATTCGGGTTTCTTGATAAACGATGTCAATCACAGGAGTGGGTTCCACGATCATCACAGTTTGACTCGACGGAGCGGAGAGCACTTTCTCAGGTGCTGTTCGAATACTATTCGATGCCACGGTGCTCTGAGGTTCTTTCGTCATTTCAGACGAATTACGACCGGAGTTTTCTTCAAGGATCACCGGAATCGGATTTTCCACCTTAAAAAAATACGGTTGCAGACTTCACGCCCGTGTCGCAGATGCAGACATATCTTGAGCCTAATTTTCTATGTACCGGAATGGGGAAATTGGAAAATGTACTGAACGTTACAAATGTTGTCGGATTCCGGCGCTCAGTCCAATTTTCAAATCTTATATTTTCACAGAACTGCCTTTCGAGCAAAATCGCGGTAGTTCAAACAATCACAGATAAACAAAAATATTTTTTAAATTGTATTTTTTGTCATGAATGACGAAAGAACAATATGCCACAGAAACGTCACCCTTCCCAATTGCGCTTGAATTGAAAGTTCACGACTGCAAGGTATCACTGCAACAAAACGTTTAAAATAAATTGAAAGCCTTCTCTAGGGATAGCACTAAAAATGCCAAGATACGCGTAGATGTATTACTCACTTAGATGCGAACAACTATACGTTCGACGAAGCGTAAAAATTAATTCGGGACTTGCTCCTAAATTCATGGAAGAGGGCTGTTCGAATCAGTGGAGAATACAAATTTTCCACTGAAGTGTAATAATCGAAATACTGTAATAACATAGCGTAATCATAAAAAATGGCCCCCTTGTTCGATATGCGCGCTGACACCTGGCGTTAGAAATCATAGCTTCAGATTTCAACACAACTCAAAGACAGCTAGAATAAGAATTTGACTTACTTCAGAAACATCTATCAATAAAGTAACACATCACACCAACCTGATCTCCAGCTTCGGCAGAAGGTGGAGTCTCGGGAATCGAGGCGACGGTCTGCTTTACAGCAGACTCATTAAAACTATTCCTTCCGTCGCAAGCTCTGAATTCTCCGTCTCTAACTGATTCAAGCCTTTCGGCTACTCCGAGTGCTAAGATTTGAGGCTCGGTCAGGTAACTGGCGAAAAGTAGAGATATTCCATTGCAGGAACATGTGCCAGCAGATCTGGCACGTACATCCATAACCATGGATTCAAAACAGGGCCTCCAACTTCGCGGAGACGCATGCAGTAAAACGTCCGCATTTGAACAGGAAAACGCATCCCAGGCTTCGCCTAAAATTGAAAACGGAAATGTATTGAAACCCACGTAACATTTGACTTTCCGCCTCAAAATAAGTTTTCTCAGCATGATTAAATTTTAGTTGGAACAGTCGTCTTCCTCGAGAAGCTAAAAATTTGTTCCTCGACGAGAGGGAAATAAGATGAGAGATGCTTTCTTTTCCCGAATCTTCGCCCAGACCTTCTTTCTACGCAAGCACACGAATCTACCCGAAGTCTTACATTTCGAAAAATCTCGAAATAATTTTTCACACCCGAGACGGAACGTGTCATCCCGAAGCAAACAACAAAATAAAAATCCCTCTGTCACCAAATTGTTCTCTCACGCATCCAGGAACATAAATCCTTACTAGCATTAAGAATGACGCTGATGAATTCAATCAACCCACGTTGAATACGGTATAACTCAAGGAGAAAAACGGAAAATTAATCCTAAGTTCGAATTAGCTTGCGATGAACCGAAGAAACGCCCACTTTATTCACTTGAAAACGAACACGCGAAATGCAGATGAAAAATTCAGATATACTTCAGAACGTCGATTAGTAATCAATAACTCACCAGAAACGCCTTCCGGAACCCATCGAGAAGGACATGCGCATTTTCCTTTCCATCCCATCAACGGGCCTTCCATAGCACCACCATCTTCAGTGACTTGTACCTCTTCAGATGATTTGGTGCTCCTGACGTTTCCTAAAAATAATTTCATTTGAATTTAGATCGTCACCACACAACATATTCGTCAGCACGTGAAAGATATGTTCTCATCGCGTATTCGGCTACAACAGGATTGTAAACAGCAATCGCCGTAGTCACATTAGACACGGCGTCAATGATCTGCTCCGGAGCCGCGACGTTTAACCACTCGATGTTGAACTGCGCGTTTCTGAACGGGAAATCACGCTCGAAAGCATCTTCGAAAGTATCCAGCGCTGCGCGAAACGGATAAATGCACAACGAAGTTTCGAAAATTTGACAAGATTAAAAAATGAGGAAAACTTCGCTAACCTGTAGTGAATGCCTCCGCCGCTCTCTTCACGATTGACATCACAGCATCTTTCGCACTACCGAATAAGTTCTTTGGTCGCATCACATCGACGTCGTTATCATCTTCACCATCATCTAAATCGATGAAAAATACATCCACAAGCACGCTCACATAATATACAATGCTGTTGAACAATTTCTTCTCATGACAACCAGTGATGTTTTTCAAGATGTTTTGGTGTCAATAAATAAAAAATTTATTGAAACTAAGACTAAATTAACACAAAATCAGTTTTACTCAACTCAGCATGTCCAACTAAACTAGAACATAGAAAATGTAACAAATTCCCATTACAATTCCTTTACGGCGAAAGAAAACACGCAGCACGGAATGAATTTATTTTTCCTTAAAGGTTCAAGTTTTAACATGAAAACTAAAAATCCTCACCAATATATCCGTCCTCATCCAACGAATATAATGATCCACTGGGACTACGTGACAAGGGACCGTGTCTATCAGCATGAATATCTTCCATCGCCTCCAATTCACTCGTCCCGTAGACACGGAATACGGATATTGGGCAAAAATGCTCTGACCCAAAATGCGACAGAATATCCACCTGCATAAAACGAAAAACGTTCTTGAATTAAAGTCATGCGAACATGTTAAAAATAAAAAATCATATAAACCCTTTCCACAAATAAAACTTCACACCATTCACCCTGAACTTATCTGATTCGCAATTAACACCAACCTTCACATATTTTCCGAAAAGACGTGAAGAGGATGATACGGTGAAATTTTGGACACCTCGCACGTCCCTTGCTTCGAACATCCCCAACTGATTCCATTCGCGGGTAGGATACCTATCACTTATCGAAAGCGCAAAGTTCTTGGGTGATGAGGAATAAAGCTCGAAATTCCCCATCTCGAACTGCGAATAGAGAAAAATCCCACACTAAAATAAGGACACACTACACAGAAAACGGTTCAACTCACCGTATTCGGTTCAATTGCTTCACACAACTCAATCACGAAGTAAATCGAATTCTTCACCACACAAGGGCTGAGGAAATATTCATCCATCCCGGATGATAACATGGCAGGAGCACTCTGCGCTTCAGCATTAGCAGCAAGAACTTTGGCACCACAATCAGCAGATGCAAAATTTTTCCTTATCCGTTTCGATTTTCCTTTTTGCGCATTGGCCGCACCTTGACCGGGCACATTCCGCGAAGTAGGACTGGAAATAACTGGGACGCTACTCGGCGCAGTAACTGATGCAGCTGAGAAAACATAGAAAACTTCCAGATCAGCTTGTATACAGTATATTTACGCATCAACAGTCGAATGTGCTGTTACAAAATGCCGCATTACTGAAAAATATTCGTCATTTCGCTGACTCGGCGTGTAAAATGAATAAAAGCGTCCCTGAAAAATTGATTTTTCGCACTATCGACTCTTGGAGAAGTGTTTGCTTTGAACTTTCCTACAGATGATTTATGCAAATTGATCGTCCTCGGAAGAAGTTACAGGGGAAGGGTGGCAAGCAGGATAAATTTGGCTTAAGAAAAAATAGAAGTTTCCTCGATCGTCGAAAGCATCGCCCTTCCTTTTCTGAGTGATCTTCCAAATTCACCTTCAACATTAGTTAATTTAAACAAAAATTAATAATGTACATTTTCGATAGATCTTGAATGGACTGGCTAATCCATTTAGCTTCACATTACTATAATAAGACATTTCGTAGGCCCGGAAACCAATTCGCCATTTTACACATCTTTGCTGCACTCGGCTGCCATACGGATAAGGGACTTAAAATTGGAATATATCACGTCAATTAATCGAGGTAACACAACAGTACACTCAACTATTCAATCTCAGCAAATACGTCAGCGAATAGGGAACACTCAACCTCCAAAAAGCGTCATATAGGCAAAGTAAAACTTACATTCTCTTTCTTTCGCAACAGCCTCCAGCTTCTTCTTGGTCCAGTCGCTAAACGTGTCGATATCGCCCAATGGTGCTGCTGATTCATCGTCAGACTTTTTAAGTCCATTGTCCTCTCTGATGCTCGCATTTTCAGCAGGATACACTGCAAATTGAATGAAAAACAAGCCCCTTACCATACGAATTCAAACGTAATTGAAAAACTAAATCATGTGTCACACCTTCTAGCGTCGATGGCTCCGATTTCAGCAACAGAACGTCAGCGGCAGGGGAAGGAATCTCGCTCTGAACCTTCGGAATAGATTCTATGGATTCCGCAAGGTCTGCTTCCGGAATTGTTCGGTCACTCTTCGCGGTTGTTTCGCGTTCTTTCTCCGAAATGGGAGGAGAAAGAATCTTCTCGTCAGTTTCCGCATTATTAATCGAACTCGCTTGCTCTTTCCGAATTTCGCGAGTGTTCTCATCACAGCACACCATCGCGGCGGCGAATATGAGCGCCAAGACGATCACCTCCGCGATCTCCGCGCATTTCATCCTACGCGTCGAAAGAGAGTGAGCGCAACATGAATAAATCAATTCCAAGTTAAACTTACGATACATTAATGGTCACCTTCAAAATTTTCTGAGCAGTTACTTCCGTTAACACAAAGTACAAAGATATTTCCAGTAAAATACGATGCCCGAACGATGCACCCGTCTTCGACATGATAACACATATAAATAACGAAAACAAATATAAGGCACTCGAATGGCATTAGCACAATTCATTCACAGCATGTCTAGCTGGCAGCATAATAAAATACTCATTAATACTCCTAGATCTTTCGCCGGACTGAATTGAAAACGATTTAATCAAGGTTTAGTGAAGATAATGCCCCACCAACAAGATGCATGGACCCCGTAACGAGGACGAAGACATCACGTCCGTCACTTTCGCCGGCTTTTAACAATGCTTCGTCAATACATTTCAGCACCATTGAATTTGATTCGGGATTCAATTCATCCCATGCCGTTTTTTGGCACTCATTGTTCCGCGTCATATCCAAGCATGGGACACGAACATTGTTGGTATCTTCAGATGGGAAGAAGAGAGAAAAGTGCATTGAATGAAGGCAACGCACGCCAAATTTCGCAGCACAGTATCGTAAAAAATATGAACCACCTCCAATAAAAACGCATGGCAGAGAGCACGGATTATCTTTAGGCAACCTATTTCTGATTCCCTCTAAAAATCTCTATATCATGACTGATTCAGACAATCTATTGCGAAAATAACTGATGACACATACCTGGAGATGAAGCACCTAGATGTATCTGATTGGGGCAAAAATACACAGAATCCCAAGCGAATGTGGACAAGGTTTGTAGAAGCTCCTTGGCATCACGGTCCCCAGTACAATTGAAAACCAACGAAGCTTTGAATTTTCTATGAAAAACAAAACAAGACGAACATGCTCATTGATGCATACCCCGAAACAGATTCATGAAGGTACGTCACGAGATTAAAATAAGATGGGGTATTTCCAGCAATACAAGTTTAGGTACACGGAAAACGTACCCAGGCGAATATCATGAAGGAAAAATCACACGGATATTTGCTCCATCTGTTTAAAAGTGGGTACTCAAAAAACATGCCTTCAGTTTTCACAAGCAGGAATTTCAGAAATTTTTGCATGATTTTTGAAGTAATCTTTGCGCACTTCACTTCTCAGGAATAACTTACCTTCGATGAATTAAGATTGTTCAAATTGCAATAATGTACGTTGAATCTTGATTGGGATTTCTCTACATGGTGATCGACGGAGTACACATTTAACACCGAGCATTAAAGGTGTGAAATGGGTACGAGAACACATGCATACAGTACACGTAAGACAGGAGGGGTCTAAAGAACAATTTAAAAATCGAAAAAAGGGTCATGGAAGCTTATGTTCAGTCACGAAAAAAATATGTCCGTTCTTCACTTACTTGTTGAATTCCCTTGCCCCGTTATTCAACACACTCTCAAACCACTCCATGCAGGCTTTCAGGCTGCCGACTGTGTGAGCGCCATCCAAACAAAACTTGATTCCATTTTTCGAAATTATCTGGGCACGACCAGGAAGCCAACAACGTTTCAAGGAATTTATCACTTCCTCATCTAGGGTTTCCACTGGAACACAATCAACCGAATCCGCAGCTACATGCTCTCTCATTCTTTTCTTCCACAGTTCCACAGCCTGTATTGCCACGGATGCATTAACTTGCTGAACTTTTCCTTTGATTCCAAGTTCAATGGGAGTAGTCGAAATGTAACTCTCAAATGACGGCGCCACCATAATTTGACACTGGAATATCCAGTGGCAATAAAATTATTGATAAATTGTTCGTCACTGTTAAAAACTAAAAAACAATTACGGGGGATTACGGTAAAATCTAGAAGGTAACATGAAGGATTATCTTCACCTTCTTTTCCACAGATCTTTTCTTTATCACCTCCAAGGCTTCATCCACTTGATTATACGCAACAACGCACGGGACATCAGGTTTTAAAATCCCAGCTTTTTGCCAGGCAATTTCTCCAAGAGTGTTTCCGAGGATCTTCGTGTGATCATAATCCAACGTCGTGATAATACAGACCTTCGGGCACCTTCGTGGGACCAAACAAATTAACTTTCACAGATCCAAAAAACTTAAACATCGACGTACGGCAGAACATTCGTGCAGTCGTACTCTCCACCGACTCCCACTTCAATCACGGCGACATCAACATTTTCTTTCAGGAAAACTGAGAAGGCCAACACCGTCAACATTCGGAAATATGAAGGCATGTCTTCATCGCCTTCCTGATCAGAAACGAAAGAGTCGCTTAAAATACACAGTCCATCGCAATCCAACATATAGATGTCTTCGAATACCAACGTCAAGTGAAGATTTTGTTGGATTTCAATTCAAGCATGCTACGAACCCCTACATGGGCATTTCGTACAGATCAGAACATGAGTCGATAAAATAAAAAATAAATATTTTCTGCACGTGTTTGACAAAAATTTACCTTTGCGGCATCCAAGGCGTTATAGACATGCCAAAAATATTCAGCAAAACGCCCTTTGGTCAACGGAATCCCATCGATTTTGATGCGTTCATTGACGGATATAAGATGTGGTGAAGTGAACATTCCAGTTCTGAACCCGGAATCTCGTAATAATTGTTCCACGAACGCAGAGGTAGATCCTTTCCCCTTCGTACCAGCAACATGCATTGCATGTAGCGCGTTTAAGTCCGACGGTGATAACCCAATGCGACTCAAATACTGGTTAACTTTTGACAAGTTTTCATCCGTGTGTGGCCGCTGTTTTCCTTTCCGTAACGTTTCAGCGTTAGATTGCAAACCGTTCAAAGCGACAATAGCCTCCTGAACCATAAATAAAGTGTGTTTTAAGGAATTTCGAATAATATTGAATGAAACGCACTCACACCATAGGATGCATCAGGAGATGAGACGATCGAATACTCTCGCGTTCCTGGTTTCAGAGACACCAAGTCGGGATGGAATATCGGATGGGATAATGCAGCGGGCGCAGACCATTTGTTCATTACAACTCGACGCGTTAAGCTTCGCAACATCAGACTTCAGAAAGCGATAAGAACGAAGTAGATATCCTCAGAATATACATTTCGAAAAAAATGCGTAGAATCAGTTGCTCATATCGTTTTAATTAGGACGTCGACACGTCCGTCTAAGACGACGAAAAATTTTTCAACGTGACATCGAGCACAGCGAGAATTTACGGCGGCCTCACAAGAGAGGAATGAAAGGCCTTCGTCGGACATCCGCAATGCCTCGTTAACTGGCGAACAAGATATTTGAAATCCCGCACTTGAACAATCTCGTGGATGTGATCCTCTAATTAATCCCAGAACAAGCTGAAATTAAAAAAAAGTATCGTACATAAGCTCGTCCCAAAAAGCACTATGTCATTGTCCTGACCTCATCGGAGAGATGACAGGCATGCCTGGTTCAGATCCTTTCAGAAATCCTGCGAAAGCTGGAGAGTCAGTCAATACGAACTACAGCTAGATTCCGCTGCACTCACCAAGATATAGAATGAGGGGCATATATCCGTAGTGAACGACAGCTTTAAAAATTCCGAGGACAGCTCCCAAGCGGCGCTTCATATCCGGCGACATATTCAGAATTTAGAGGAGAACTGATGCATACACAATTAAATATTCAGAGCTAACTTCACTTCCTGGAATTAAAATCAGAAGACAAACTGTATATGATTTAATTTTGTGAAGAGGTTTTCCTGCGAGAAAAACCGTACGTAAAAAATCAGTCGCGACTGTTTCTCAGAGTTGCAGACACATATTCCGCCGATACATTCTGGACCTCGAAAATTTTCTGCCGACCACGTCCTCCGCGCTCAAGTGACACGTCAGATTTCCGAACATTCAATACCTTGGCCAAATATTTCGATAATTCTGCATTCGCTTCACCATCAACTGGTGGGGCAGCCACCTGAATATGCACCGCTTCGTCTGTGAGATCCGTAACTTTATTTAATGATGCCCCTGGTTTCGCGAAGACTGACACGACCACGGCGTTTCCTTTTTGCGTGACGCAACCACACGACACCGCACGCGTATGAGAATTACCGGCGGCACGGTTCCTCTCAGCGGCACCAGACTTCTGATCAGATTTCTTCGGACCCATGCTGAAAATGCGCACGAAAGGACACCCGGAAGGTTCAGAACAGATCCGAAATATATTTAACAATCCTCCCATGTCCAACAAGCTGACGTGACGACGAACAGTCGACCTTTGTGAAAACAAAAAGAGCTTGAGTCTCGTTTCAGTATCAGCATCTGCACTGAAGTGTCTTCATTTTTTCATCATGAGCATTGTACTGTGCACAATGAAATCTTGTAACAACGTTCTTGGGACCAGGAAAAAAGGCTCATTGTAAAATTAGTCATGAACTATTTTGAGTAACATTCTTGCTGTTGGGAAGGGAATTAAAAAAAATCGTCTTGAAATAATTCTGCATCACAAAATATTTTAAAATGAAAACCCAATTCACTGTTACTTCTCGATTGTCATTCATAAATTAATTCGATACTCCTCCGGAAGAGGTGACCCACCCCTAACCGCGTGTGCATCGTGTAAAAGCGACCTCTATGTCACAAGTAATGAACTCTCATTTGCAGATTACTGTACAAGAGTAAATGTGGACAGTACTGCCTTTTCTGGTGTTCATGTCCAGCAACACTGCAATGAGGAGTATGATTTTCAAAATTTTGAGCACTTTTCACAACTTTTTTCATCCTTCATTTTCTAAAGCTTGATTTTGAGTCTGCATTGGTTTACAATTTTTAAATGGAGTGTTTTTTAAGGACGCATGAAGAAAGAAATTGTGCACAAAATTTCATGTCATACATGCATTTTGAGTTTTGAAATTTTGGTGAGTTCATCCTTTTTTTTTAAGGCTTGATTTTTAGTCTGCGTAGGTTTTAAAATTTATAAATTGAGTTTTTTTTAAGGCGCAAAGAAAGAAATTTATACTGTGACCAAAAGTTCTCATCATAAACGCATTTTGAGTGTTGACATTGTTTGAGTTCATCTTTCATATTTTAAAGCTTGATTTTGAGTCTGCTTAAGTTCTAAAATTTTTGAATGGAGTGTTTTTTTTAAATACATGCAAAGAAAGAAATTTTCACTCACAATTGGCACTAGGGAATGCCTGGTATTGTAGATGACTGAATGCAAGGAGTAGAAAAAAATGATGTCACAGGAATAATTCCATTGCTACTGGCTCTTTTGGTGATGTGGTTGGAAACAAGAGGAAGACTGGAGTGGGTAAAGTCAAAGGGCTCTTATAGCCATGTCACATGAAACCCTTACATAAGTGGGGGGTTTCTTTTATTTAGAAAAGCGTACTAAGATGAAATCGACGTAACATGGGCCCATTGTAAGTCCGGGGCCCACTGTACAGTACGGCTCCCAATTTTATTCTCAATTGCACAACTGCCACTTCATGTGCATAAGCAAATGTGTGTTTGTACTGGTTGCTGATGGATGTCTGAGAGCTTTCGAAATGTTATTCACATGTGCCACGGATTAGGATATGCTGAACCAATTGTCATAGTTCTACACATCATAAATATAATTCAGATGATGAAGAACTTATTGACACATGAATTAATATGAAGTAAGTGGCACAACAACTGGTAACCTAGTCTGCGAATGAGAAAAACAAGGAAGAGCGTTATCCGTCAATATACAATAATAAAACGCATTATTCCCCACAAATTCAAGTGTTCCAAATCTTAATGAACGGCTGAGCTTCGAGTACAATTTTTCACGAGGCCTGCAGCCATGAGTCACGAGCATCCAGTGTTGCTGGATGCAAACTTGGATATAAATGTAATAGTACAGTACAGTAGTACTTCCTGCATTACTGTCAAATGAACATTTTGCTCTGGCCCAATATGGGTTACTAGATTATTGAAGATTAAGAAGAAAATGAAAATCCCCCCCCCCCCCCGAGTGGGATCGATAATTAAATAGGGCATACTTACAAAATATTTTATCTTTCCACAGTCAATCGTATCACAAACGTGACCGCACCTCGAAATCATGCAAACCCTGGAGGACCAAATTCAAAATCCGCACTGAACATCCATCGCAAAAATTAAGAAAAAACATTGTGCATCACCTAGAGGAGTTGTCCACCGCTCAGATATTCAACAATCGAGACCGAAGGAATCCCATGGAAATCTCTAAGAACTCTTCGCAGCAACAATAAAAATAAAGAAAAACAAACCCTGACACAAAAATTCTCTGGATAATTCAAAATACACAAAAAAGAAACCTCGAACTGGAGATCCAGGCATCAACAATTCATTCATAAACCCTTCTGACTTCCACCGGTCCGACACTCCAAATCGATCATGCTCCTACATCTTTCCGCGGCGCTGTCAACAAAATAAATAGGTCAATCCTAAAAAAAAAAACTTGACCCAAAATAGCCTAATGATGATGATTCATCGCAAGAAGCACTGGCAACAAACAGCCGATCACAAGCGCTATCAGCTCCAACCTGCGCATCGCGTGTATCGACTTTCCGGCAGCTCCCGGTGCCGCAGTTGGCAATTGTTCGTGGCTGAACCCGTGCCCACCACCAACCAACTGCGAAACCTCCGGCAACACATGAATGAGGGATACATATAAGAATGTGCCCGCACTGAATAGCATCGCAAATCCAGTTCCATTCAAAGTTGCCAGACCTCCTTCAGGTCCCTGAAAAGAGGCACAACACGCTGGGTGAGCAAGCGCACAGGTACAGTTCGGCAAGGGACGAGGAACATGATGTTCGACACAAATGCGATGAGAGATAATAATGAACCCTCATCACGGGCTAATTTAAAATAACGCCTATCTCGAAATAATCTGAGATTCCAAATGTATCTTCCTGAAAAACTGAATGGAATACCTTCAACTCCTTTTCCTCGTTCAAGACCATACGGAAAATTTTCCATTGAAATTTATGGTACCTTTGATACTCGGAAAAATGGCATACATCCTAAAACATGAACGTGACGTCGGTTGACTTCGCAAACTGAACACATTTCCGAAGCACAGAATCTTATTACTCTACTGTGAAAACGAAGTCCCTCATTTGGTCTTTCACCAAGAATTCATGAGCCCTGTGCAGACACAGACCACGATTTTTCAAGAAAATCGACATTTTCGTCATACATCAACAACGGAACAAAAATTTTCCTCAAGCAATGAAACCCATATAATTACAGTATTTCGTGCTGGAAGTTTGAAAAAAAAAAAGATGCGCGCGGTACTTCAGTGAAGTCGGGGATCCGCGACGGATGTTTCTTTCCGAGTTTCTTCCTGTACACAACGAGGCATTGTCGTCTTTCGGCAATGGGGGGAAAAAAAAAACTGGCATAACACGTACCCCATCGACAAAAAAATATGTTGCGATCGCTGCAGACGGTGCGGCGACGGCGAATAACAAAAGATGCCTTCGAATACGATTTCTCTCCAATCCGGAATGCAACAGGAACGTAACCAGTCCGAAAGCAGCTGGCGCCTAAATAATCAAGACGAGATTCTGTGAAGAAATCTCTAAATTTCAAAATTTAGTCCGATAAAGCGTGGATCCAATTTCTACTGCTTCAGGTTGATGCAAATAGACAGCATTCAAAATTTAGCTCGGGTTCGGGTCAAGGCCGTTCTTGAGAATGCTCTACAAATAGCAATTAGGAGTCCAACACAAATTTCAAGAGTTGGAGAACTTTGAGAAACCAAAAGGCATAAATAACAAATGCAAAATATCCATAACTGTCCCGTGTTCGAAGGGCACCAACAAGACCGTTGAGAACATTAGGACCTTAAAATTTTGCTCAGAAGCGGATAGAATTCCGGAACCTTTAAAACAGAATGACACCCTAATGATTCAAGTTTGCACAATACAGTACGTACTTATCTCAGCTTTACGCACATAGCATGCACTAGTTTAAAAATACTAGTAAGAAGGTTTATTTAACCTTATGCAGCATTATCGCCAGGAAAACTATCATTTCCGTGTCCATATGCGACGTGGAGGCCGCAGCACCGAGTGCAATTCCGTCAGCAGCTGCGTGAACTATCAATCCCAGAGTCGTTGTGGAGGTAAAGGAATGATCTGCCGGACTGCCATTATCTACAAATCACACACACAATGAAGAGTGAATGATCATTTTCACCTCGACGAAGGAAACGCACCATTTTTCCGACAAAACACAGCGAATTGGTCAACGAACAACATAAAGACAAATCCCAGAACGAGCGCGATTCCGATCACAGAATGTGGCGCAAACGAGGAGCTGGCCTCTACGGAAACTCCTATCTCACTCCCCACGTCTGGCAGCTTCGTTTCTTGGTCGGCACCTCAAAGAAAAAGATCACAATAAAAGGCCGAAGTTCGGCATCATATGATTTATTTAAAAGTAATCCATAATTTATACCCGCTACAACAAACAACATTGAGCGAATGTATTTACAGAACCCACACTGAACTCATATTTTTCCTTTGTGGGGGGCAGAGTGCATTCGCGATGCTGTACGAAAAACTTGATCCGAGATAATTCCAGATTACACAAGCAACAGCATTCATGCGATTCCCCATTATTGGACTTCGCTGATTATAAATACTGTAAAAGCATCGTTGAAAAAATCCAACGAAAATACATTTCGAAGACTGACTATGAAGAAATTCATGAGACCAGAAAATATTCCTCGTGGAGAACCCCTATGAGATGGATTGAGAAACTTGACGGGAACGAAGAAAATTTATTATACAGACAAAATCGTTGTAGAGAGTTTCCCTTTCATTGGTTGCAGTCCACGATCGAATAAAATAGACAAAACTATATTTACCGATAAGCTGCATTGCTTTATGAGCGGACAACTTCGGTGCTTCACAGACGGCCATCATGCCTTCAGGAATGATAACTGCCAACGCTGTTCCAACCAATAACCCAGCACCCATCACGGAGACCAGTTGAAGTTTCTCCTATGGAAACAACGGCAAAGATTAAATTGGTTTTCGAAAGTTGAAGGCATGGTGCAGCGTACTTCCGAAAGAGAAACCACGAGTGGAATCAAACCGGCGATGTAGCAGCCAGCCAGCATGGCAAGACATAGGGATAATAGTATCCATACTTCACTCATCTCTACGGAACACACACGCAGATCTTCTCAACCTGAGGAAACGAATGATTTCATCACATTAAAAAGAAACCACCTGATTCACGGATGTTAATAATCTCGTAAATTTGAAAAAGATCTGACGATTCTAAGGAATCCGGAGCATCATCCGAATACCAAAAAGAAAAGCCTTTTTAATCCCCCTCTCGAGCAAATCAGAAAAATTGAAACACGCAACAAGACGACGCAGATACGGAGCAGGCATTCGAAACAAACAAAAAATCAAAGAAACCTCAAATTCATTTTCGCTTTTCTCTGCGGAAGTACGACACCGCAAATGCTCCACACACGGTAAAGCAAGTGTTATGCGACTCGAAGATTTTTAAGGTTCTTCGTCTTTTTCCAGCTCGTCCGTCGGCTCATTTTCCCCGCCTGCTTCTTCGCCAGCTAGATTATCTTCACTGTCCTCTTCCCCTTCACCTTCTTCTTCGTCATCCAGGATGACAACGGTGTCCGGCTCTACGTCACTAAAATCAATCGAAGAAAAATGTTTTCTTTTATTATGCCCCAATCAGAAACGTAGCTCATTCAAACTACAAAATCCTTCTCAAACACTGCTGGCAGAGAATCAATTAGCTCTGAACAAATGATGCACGCACCTCTCTTCTTCTACGCCCTCCTCTTCTTCATCCTCATCAGAAAGTCCATTCGCCTCAAGCTCAACCTCCGGAGCTAAGTAATATTGCATCGGATTCGGCCACATGTCGTCTTTGAGAATCTGAAAATTTGAAGAAGAAAAAAACAAGAAAGTTAAACTTCCAGTATTTCTTAGGAGAGGGAACGAAGGAGGATTTTTAATGATTTGGCGGCAATCACGAACAGCAAAGCAAAGCTGCTTTGTTCATGAAGCCGTAGGCTTTCGACGGAAAAGTTCGTTAAAATGCGGGGTCATATTTTTTGAAGTCATTTTCGAAAATGTTCCTAGCTAACACGAGGTTCAGGTCAATCGATTCAAATACAAAGCAAAAGTAAAAAAAAAAGAAGCACACTTGGTGTCCTTTTCTGTGGATTATATGGTAATAAGGATCTAAAGTTACACTGCAATACGGTAATACATTTATTTTTGATTTACAAATAATTTGGGATTCACGAAACATCATGATAAAATATCACGTTCCTCGTTGCTGAAATTTATTCGAACATGACATTATACTTTCAGATTACATCAGGATTCTTCACAAGTATATTTTACACTTCACTTTCCCCTATGCAAGTCAGAATTTCTGCAGCATCATGTGCATATTAATTACGTTACGCAGCGCACAGCATACTATTAATTGCAAATATTTCTATCAATACCTCTGCAATTTCATCACCAGAAGGATCCCCACCATGGGTCAACCACTCAAGGAATGACACTGTATTGTCAGCCCACGCTCGACCACGTCGTTTGGGTTTCTTCTCCTTCACTTTCAGAAGATCCATGCCAGCTTTCCACTTGATTTCTGTGCTTTCAACGGATGGTCGATCTTCTGGTGCTATGAAAAACCAGAAGTTCACTGCTTATCGTTCAAGTATGATTGAATGCTAATACTCACATTCGTAAGGAAGATGTATGTCCTTCACCAATTCGTTGTTATCAAAATACGGATTATCCTCGAAAATGAACTTGATCTTATAACCTGACTTTATATCATCATTCTCGTCGACAACCATGTCTCGCAGATATTGTAGACATTTTTCTTCTTCTTCATCGATCATGGGTGAAATTTGAGGGTGGTTTGTGAATGCCGTTAGCCAGAATTGGGGTATTCTGGCAATTATTTCGGTTCGGTTTCCGTACATCGGTCTTCTCAGAATATTAAACTTTTGCTCGACTTTGAGGATTTCTTCACTCGCCTGCATCAGATAAATTATTATTCAATTTTCTTCTTGCAAAACTAAATACCTCACCTTCTCGTTCAACGCATCAATTTCTCTTTGACATGAATCGAGTTCGTCCAAAGCCTCGGAGATTTCTTTGGGCAAGTCTTCCAGCATCATTCCACCGGAACTCCCAGCAGCGGGTTCACTAAGAACCTCGTCAGCCACTCGCGCTTTCTTAGAAACTGGCCCATTATCTTCCGCGGAATCCGGGAGTTTTGTTTTGCCAGATTCCGCCATTTCACCATTCGTTAAATCAAAACAAAACAAAATCGAAATCTGCAAGAAAACGGGGCATCACAACTTGGCTTAAGAGAAGTACATAACAGTTTGACTAAAACACATGAATAAATGAACACAACTGACAAGTCACTCATCTTGGTACACACTGGAAACACTCGAAAAGGTCATTGATTCCACGCACGGGACTTATCCAATTGCTCGTCTCGAATGAATTTTTGGAAGAGTACTCCTCTATGACGGAAGTTATAGAATGCTGGGCGGTTGGTGACAGAATCCCACGTTCTGGAAATATAATCGGGAAAAAATTGAGTCAAGTGTAAGTCAACAATTCCTGGGGCGAGTCTAACCTTTCCTTTAGTTCCTCCGAGACTCTGATTTCCTTGAAGTCTCCAGCTACCCGCGTGACGGATATCATCGTAACAACGAGACTCACAAGTACCTGAACTATGATCTGAGAAGAAACTTGTGTGAAACAAGTATTTCCGAAATAAATTATTACATGTTGTACTTACATCCAGAGGTATATGGAACTCTTGCTCAGTCAATCGAAGGAACGTGTGATCTGAAAACGAGACCCGATTACAAGTGGCAAGACACAATTGAATATGGAGGCTTACGCTGAGCGGCTGAAACGGCCGCATGGAACATCGAGAGCATCCCAACGCATAGAATTAATTTATCGAGGAATGAGGATGCCATTCTATCAAGAAAACGCTTCACGTTGTATCAAATCATCCACATGAAACACGAAAGGATATCTCAGCACGCGGTACACTTCCTTTGATCAAGAACAACATAATGTTTGACGTCAATCACGAAATAAAAACCGACGAAATATAACACGTTAACCATCATATCTTCCCTCATCCTCGCCCCGATCTCCCGCAGGTCTGCATCACCGGTAACGAACCAGGATTGCGTATCGGATGCACGACAATCAAATTCTTCTCTGAGCAATGTGAACGCTATGAATCGATGTCTGTTATAGAGCTGTATTCCAATATGCACAGAACGTTACAGCTGAGAATGCAGCATCCGGGTTTTCCTGCTCAGCTACCTGTAATTAACATTTGAAAGACATAGCACTTCAAATTAAAGTTCAAAAAATGTTCAAGGCATTTTAAACGTCCTGTTCTTATCGTATGCTTGACAACTGCATATGCGAGCAATGAACCGTGTTAATCAGGGATTAGGCCGCGCATTTGTCCCAGTCAAGACTAACCTGCTTCCCTTTTTATCCGAAGCTGCAGCAATATATGCAGCTCATCAAATTTCATTGAAGTCAAGCATCTTTGAACGTAACTTGCTGGAGTACATAAAAATAATAAGATTTTTTTTTAAATCTAGGTGAAATTATTATTTCAAATCTAAAACCGACAGATTGAACTGTTCGAACCAACATAAACGATTTGTTGCCTCACGTACCTATACTAAGGGTATTTTCCATGAATATAAAATATGGAAATATACTGTATTAAAAATGAAATCAACAATTAGCATCCAGGTAAACTTCTGTAGCTTCAATCCACCTTTGCGGAATATCACCGTCAGAACATCCAGTGTTGATAGCTGCTACCTGGTCTTTCAACCTGCTGTCGGGGGCAGCACTAATTATTTGGGGGAGGAACGTAGATGTGTGGAATGCGTGAAGATGTTATTGCCGAAGAACAACGAGAAGAGTGCGGTGTCCATGTGTGTCGTTATTTCTTATGACTTAGAGAGATTCCGTCAGCTGATGCATGTGAACAGATTTTTTTGTTGGAGGTGTATGGAAATCATGTACGTCATGACAGCAGTACATGTAATTTAATTATGACGTGGTTGTCTCCTTTGACCAAATATGTTTCTTGCATTCCGTTTTCAGTATATTAAGCCAATACCGTTTCTAGTGCTTATTTAAAATCCTTAGGACTAGGATCCATGCATCTTCTGCGAGTATTTTCCCACTTTCAGCGTAATACGGATTCGCTGGACTCATCATAATGTCGCGGGACGATCTGTAGTGCAAGACCATCCGAACTTCGGATGACTTCGATTCCTGTCATGAGTCCTGTGACGGATGTTGAGGATGCTGTGCCTTCGCAGAGTAGCTACCGGCATGGTACTACTAAAATTCGACTTACAAGTAAATACTGATCAGATTCTGATAAGTTCCTAATTTCTCATGATTTCATGACATTGTTCCCTTTGTTCACAGTTCTGTGTGCCCAGAATTTGATCAAACGAAGCATGTTCAGTGAGTATTTTTGGCTTCGCTGTATCGTTTTACGGGCAACATCTTCAATGCGATCTTCTGCCTTGATTAGGACTTCCGGATCCTTTTGCGAAAGTTTTCGTCGAATCAACTGGGCAGTGTCACAGCACAGATTCTTGCAAGTCGACTCTCCACCCGAAATGGAATCAACACTATGATCTGTGAGTGTTTTGCGTTTTAAGCATGACCTCTCCACGGAAGGTCTCGTTGAAGATCATCTTATAAGAATGTACAGTATTTTTTTATGTTGAGTGCCCCGAACGGTGCGATCCAAACTTTTTGCCATGGTACTGCTTTGTTTTCGCATCGACTCATTCAATATCAATGGGAGAGTTGTCGGGCTTTCGAAAGGTTTTTTTTTTTAGTTCCTTGCTCCGTCCTAAGATGTGTTCCTTTTTTTCGCGGCCTTGCTCATTAACCGTGATGATAACCAGTAACTCAAGTAATGCACGTAGAGTTGGTCTAATATTGAAAGATTTCGAAGATTTGAGTGTCGCGGTCCACCATCTAAATTGTAATTGACGAATCCATGAAATTTGTTCTTCAAAACTCAAGGATTTCTCTGTATATAGTCGAAAGTAGATCTACAGATGGATTCACGAAGAATGTGCCCTTGAAAAGGTCGTGTTCCCGTTTAGATTTTAGCGTGGGTGCTATTGTTGCACATCATAATGAAGGCAAGGGAGATGTCGTCATGATGCTCGCGATTAAGGTTATTCTGTGACGTTGTTTTTTGTAGTTCACGAATCCCACGGTAGCTCTCGTGGTTTCGTCTGACGAATTCAAACTAACCCCACAGTCTTGACAAAAGAGTTCATCGCATCGTTCAAAAGTATGCCCCTTAAAGTAATTGTACTGCATTTGAATTTTCAAGCCGGGAACCTGCGCCGCGCACCTCTGTCACTTATCTCAGTGGAGGTCGTGCATTTTTAGCATAATTCGAACTAGAGTGAGTTTCAAGAATAAACCAAGAAGCCTGCGATTGTGGTATAAACTCGGGGATGTACAGTAATTGAAATAGGTGCTGAATTTGTGAAAAGCATCATCTGGCGTTTTGCTTGGTTTAGCGTGTCGCATATACAGAACAAAGAAAGAATGAAGTGATCAGTGAATGCTGAGGCCTATTCAGAAGTCTGCAGTGGTGATTTTTGTGGTTATTCGCTGCTCTTCTGAATTCAATTTCTTTGACTCAGTGATTTAATTTGCTGTTCTATAAGTGGAGCTCAGATTTTTTATGTCTTTAACTCATGAGTTGGCCGAGGTACGTGTGGATCATATCTAGTGAGGTTACTTTTTTTTGGTGATTGAATCGGCCCCTGCTTAACACAGCGGACGACAAGGATTAGCATTCGAGTGGAATAACTACGTTTTATTTTCGCTTTTTTTGTCAGATTACTGTATTGTACCATCAAACTGCAGAATTTTATTCAAACAAATTTATCCCATTTCGAGTACAATAAGCTAGTTTTTATGTTCGCACATTATGCCTGATGTTGCTCGCCTTAGTTACGCGAGGCAAGTGCTTGTCGCAACGGTCGGTCGTGCGCAGTTTTTGGGGTGCCATTTGCGCTATCGTGATTTTAATTAGTTCAGTCGCGGCGTTGGAAAGGGTCGTCGGTCGTAGGATTGAGATAGTTCCTGCTGATAACCTTGGACAGTCTCGGGACAGCTGCACGCAGTAGTGGGGTGCGATGCTTCGTCACGCCCATCGTCATCCTGTCACCGTCGTCGCGAAATAATTCGACTTAAGCGCTTTCAGCAATGCCATGCTTAGATCACCTCTTGCTCAGTGCGTTAATTTTCAAATACTCTCTCTTCTTCTCGGATTTTAATGTTTAAAATCTAGGAAATTAGATGGGGCGTTTTGTATGTGTTGCTATGTCAAGAGATGGGGATTAGTTATCTGTTATGACTGTTCGCGATTAACTGTTGAAAGGGAGCTTATTTACGAAATACTGTACTCTTAAACTAAAAAAAGCATTTCGAGGAAATTATGTGCCCTTGCGCGTAGTTTCTCATCGTCGGCGAATATTCGCCAAAGAAGGTACACGTAGTTCAATTGATTTATGCAAGGAAGCCCCGACTTACGGACGATTTGACTTAGAGACACTTGCAACTGAAATAAATGTGTCCAACATCCGGACAATGTTTTCGAGATGGAAACATTTTGCCAACATTTTCCAAAAAAGTTGAAAAATGGGTTCATGAGAATTTTGACATCTCTTGCAAAAAATTGAACTACTGTAAATGTATTTTTATTCACAAAAATTAACGATGAATATTTTCTAATTTTCTCTAATTCAGTATCAAAAACACGCTAACTTCGAGCTTCTTTTTTCATCATCCCTGAGCACAGTGTAGCAAGACTTGTGCTTGTTCTTTGCTTTTTGGGCCTTTTTGTATGCGAAAAGATCAAAATCTGCGTGATTTTCTTCTGCGAAGTTCTTTCTCAATTTTGGAGGACTTTTTCCATTTTTATGTACAGGAGAACCAATTCAATACTGTATGTTCTCATTGAAGTCGATGGGAAAACGTGATCAGACTTGCGGACGTTTCAACACAGGGACAAGGTCCAAGCACCAATTAGATCCGCATTTCGGGCCCCCACTTCGATTTGTGCGTGTATCCGTGGCAAGCAGCAATTTTTTTCTTAGAATTGTGGATGTTTTTTCAGTTTGGTCCGGATTCGACATTTATGCGAAGCCATTTTACGGTTGAATATGTAGTTCGAAAATAACGGTACATTGTTCTTGCCGAGCTGAATTCAGGGAAGCATTTTCGAGCGTCGCGTTAAGATGGTTTCGTCGTAGGATTTGTGTGAACTTGCCTTGGTACTCGTCATCGGGATTACGGTAGAGTACTTTCCTTCGTCGGATTTTTCATTCTCGTCGGCCCGGACGTGAAATAGCATCAGCAGTGTTAGGCGTTCCTTGTCTGTCAAAGCTGAAATTCCCGAAGGCTTTTCCTTTAAAAATACTTATCAGTATTCTGAAGTTTATTCTCAGTAGAACGGTATCCGTGGAATCGAATCTTGAATAGTTGTGATTTGTAAAATACGGTACCTATTCCGCGCAGTGCCTGAATTTCTGTCGTTTGATATCCACGAAATCTTGATCAGTGAATTGTGAAGAAGCTATGCTCTTCTCATCATTTGCGTTTTATCGGTTTTCATTGTGTTGGAAGTGCATGGTGTGGGAAATCTAACGGTTAGTACGTGTGAAATTGTTAAACAGGGTTGTCTGATCTTTCTATTGATGGGAAGGAATTGAGTCCGTTGAGATACTTCTTATAATGCATCTTCGATTCATGTCGCTTTTGTTCTTCGTGTATTTTCAGATATATCGGAAAAAACGACGCGGTCACCATAAGTGTATGGAACAGCCGGAAGCTGCATAAGAATCGGAGCAAAGCGGGCTTTCTGGGTTGCGTGCGGCTGATGTCAAATGCGATAAACCGCCTCAGGGACACCGGCTGTGAGTAAAATATTCCCTCATTTTACTATTGACCTTTCTTAAAAGCAATTTTAGTTCCGATTCCCACGTGATTGCTGTACAGTACAGTATACTTAACCGGGTAATGCATTTTGAACAGATTTTGGGTGTGATCGAAGCATCTTCGTACCCGGTAGTCATGACTGGTTAGGGCTGCTAAGTCCAGTACTTGTGTGTCAAATTTGAATGGTTTTCATATTGTCGATAATGTTGCCACCCTCTTCTTAAATAATACTGTACTTAGATAAGGCGCGGCTTTAATGTGCGGGCTGACGATGTGAAAGAATCCTTTTATCACATGATATCAATAAAATAATTTATAGTGTCGGGAAAGTTCTGATGTGTCCAGAATGACTTTTCGGTTTTCATTGGGGTTCCTGTTCTTTTTTTTTTTACTACCATTTACACAGGAAATTGCAGATGTATCGTTACTGTGAGCTCTTGGAAGGCAATTAAGTAGCTTGTTGCAACGATGGACTGTTTTCTCTTCTGCAGTTCATTTTTTTCAGCATTTTTTTAAAAATGAAAAGTCGGATGTGAGCTTATTTAAATCGTAAAACTGAAAATTTCACGGGGGGCTGGACTATTCTTTCGCCATTCGGACGATGCACCAGGGCATTTTTCTAGTCGGCAAATGCAAGAAAAAATGTTGTGTCCCGAGAAATTTATGCTTACTCAAGTGCTGGTTTAGGATTTAGGTACTGTACTGAGGTATTTTAGTTATTGTTTTGAAAATTTAAATTCGTCTTTTTATGGATGTCTGTTGTGTGTACTGGTTAGGACTGCTTCGTAGCACATATTTCTGCAACAGTTTTCCATGAAATAATCGATTGATGGACTTCAACAGAGAAGAATCGTTATCTTATTTTAGCTTCAATTGTTCTGTTCGCACCTTTGCTGATACTGTATTGAATTTATAGTATTGAGTGAAACTTCATTCATTCTTCGAAAATTGAAGGATGCGAAGAGCATTCCGTCTTGAGTAATCGAAGAATTCATGCGCGAATTTCCATTCGTAGATCAAAAATTGGATTTGTGCAAAGCTAATCCAGACGACGGTGATCCAGTTCGAGGACAAGTCGTGATTTCTCTGTTATCGAGAGACGGACACGGATCCGGTGGACACAACGTTGTAGTGGACAGATTGGGAAATCGTAAGTACTGTTTCGTTCTCGCCTTAAGTAGCACCGTCAGACGCTTTCATAGATCAAATTTCCTTCAACTTGAATTGCGAAAGACTTTCAAATCCCCAGTTGACACATTTCAGGGGCCCCAAAATCTGTGATTGAACCGGATTACTTCCGTTCCCGCAATGCTTTAGTTATTTATTCATCCGGAGATTGAATGGAAATTATATTTTCATTCACTTATCATTTCTCCGCACATCTCTCCACCTAGTACGATGGGGAATAAGTTTTATATCACGTTCTGCCGCGGAATACTTGCCGACGCCATGCTCTATTGCGCATCTGTTTTCGGAGTCTTGTTTTCAGCCATTTGCGTCGAATTTCCGAGTACGGTGAAATGCTTTCAGGCCGTTGAACTCGGTTGTCAAGGTACTGTGAATCGGTGCGATCAAGCGTTGATAGGTGAGAATTTTGCCATGTTCGTAGCACTTCCTGTGCTTGACGAGAATGGTTGAATTGATGTCAGTGTAATGAGGATTACTGTAATGTACTGGGAATGTTGTCGTTTTTTTCTATTGAGAGGGGGGCGGTGAGGAAACGTCACGACTTGTTGTGGGAAATATTCCAGAGGACGTCTGTTCATCCGCTGTGTACTTCTTAAAAACTTTTTATTCATCGAATGTTGGCGACTGATGGGATTTTTTCTTATTTTTCAAGTCCCTCCATGCCCGAACGCAAACGGTCTGGGATGGGAGGAAAGGAACACGCCGCTCGGGCGCCTCTATTACATCAACCATCACGCATCCATCCGCGGCTCAACTCGGGAACGTGAGAGAGACAAAACTGCCAGGTTAGTTCTTTTTTTTTTTTCTTTGAAGGAGAGTTTTTATAGTCCATGTATGACTTTGGTAAGATAATGAAATCCTCGTCCAAGTGGTAGTGAATCGTTCGAAACAAAATCCTGCCTTTTTTTTTCTGTCGTAGGAAGTTCTCCAGGAAGTGGCTGCGGTGGATACGCGAAGCTACTCCGAGTTTACAGCAGAATAAATACTTCGCAATGCATTTATATTTTTGTTTCGTAACGTAGGTTGCTGAAGTACTTTTACCTACGACGTAAGACCGATAAACTTGCTTCTTTGGCTGAATACGTCGATCGTTCTGGTTGCCGTGAGTCAGTTCTCTGGGTTTGAAATAGAATATGGGGTTTCAATCGTAGTTGTTCAGCGTATGTATGATCAGAAATCCCAACGCTAGCGTTTTAATCTCTAAAGCACATTCACCAGTTTTTAGGCTGAAGCATTAGTTTTTGTCGCGGCTTGAAGTTGAAAATGCGAGTCGTACAAGTTGGGAAATTCCGAGGAAAATCGCGCTTTATGCATTACGAAAAAATACTGTTCTGAAGCATTTTTTTCTAAAACAGCTAAAAAAAAAATGAGTAGCAGAAGTGTTCAAAAGAGACCGTTAGAGAACAAGGGGTGGTTGAAAGTCTTCAGAGAACGAAAGAAAGAACTGAAGTACAGTACAAACCAAAAAATGAAGTTTTCGGTACAAATTATTTTTCGATGCTTCGAATGTAGCGGGTATGCGGGCATTCGAGATTTTAAATTTTTCTTTTGGGGAGTGCCTCGTGTAATCGATTGGAAAAGATAGGTGTGAAGTAGAACCATCATTTTCGAATGTTATCGAATCCTCGAAATGATGTAATTTTTGTTCGTAAGCCCGCTCTTTTTGTGAAACGTTCTAATGTGTTTTTTTTTTTCGTTTTCGTCAACAATGTTTCTCAATTTGGATCTGAGGTTACGGTGAAGTGAAGGAGATTTACCTCCGCAGTAAACGTGTGTTTAGAAAAATTGTGAGTCAGCATTCCACGCAGTCTATCCTGTCAAAACCAGGGACTCGGAGTTGAGCTCGAAGTGCGGAACCCAAAATGAAGCAGTTTTGCTGGAACGGATCCTGGAGCAAGACACATTTCTGAATGCTCCAGGTTCCATCCATGAGATTTTACTCGAAGTGCATGTCATTGATGTAAAGCCCCAGCCAACCAAAAACCAAGAATCGTTAATTTAGTCACATGAACAGAACCACAGTTCCAATTGAATGTTGTAATCATCACCGTGTGACCCTATACCTCTCTAAGGAGTTTCAGGCGATTTTTCCCGCAGATTGATGGATGTAGAATATTGGATTCATGACTTGTAAAAGTAGTTTGTGGACATCGTTTCATTCGTTTTTGGGATGTAGAATATTAAATTCATGACTTGTGAAAGTAGTTAGTATGTACATCGTTTTTGGGATTTTGAAAGAAACCTTGCGTAACCCCGGTTAGCATATTTTGTTTCATCAGACAAACAATGGAAGATGCAATACGTCTTTCTGCAAAAAAAAGTAGAAAGATCTGTGGAGTTCGAGCTTATTAATGCGTGAAGGATAAATTGAAATTTTATTTTGATCTTCGAGGTGTATTGATGCCTTGTGTTGGACATGCACGCATGTGTAACAGTGTAGGACATAAGTTTGAAAAAGAATGGAACCGCGTTTGACACAAAATTAATTCAATTAACTGCCATATTCCCGAAAAAAAAATTTTATTGGCTACTCGCAAGGTTGTGTCCCATTACTCATTTGCAGTCAGCATCATAAAGAAGTACTGTATCAACACCATTATCATTGCTATGATCGCTTCCATGAATCAAAATTAATTGAGTGAAAAAATATTGAGGACAATACCAGTTCATGGGAATTATGATCACAGAAGCCGAAGTTTTCTTTGAAGGAGGTACAGTAGTTATGTTGATGATTTCGGAAAGAACAAATCTGAATGAAGTACTGTATTCTTTCTGTCCATGAGTAGAAGAATCTGACTTACCTCGTCTAGAAAAGGACTTAACCAATAAGAAATAAATATTCCCCTAAATTCGGTACAAAAATCCATGATTCAAGCTGCAAACCTCTAATTGGAAAAAAATATTTCATATTTGTTCGCGGCCTCGTTTCCTATTTTGAAATTTTGCTTTACACTATCTCAACATGTGGTGTTTTAGCAAAGATTTGTGTTGTCGCGTTAAAGTCTTTGTGTAAACTACAGCAATACTGTGTCATAGTTTTTAAATTCACAAATATTGAAAACACAGTATAACCATTTCTATGCATCGAAAAGGATGCTGGAGCACCCGAAAAGAGCGTGCGGCAATTCACTTCGTTCATTTCGTAGTGGAGCAAATCTCTTATCTCTGCTCCAAATTTTGGGTCAACACGTATGTAGGAATACGATTTATTGGCTCCGCTCAATACTTTATATGAATGATGAACTAGAAAATCACGATTTTTGACAGAAATATCTTTTTCGCACTGCAGGCCATCCAGCGACGGGAATGTAATTACCGCGGAAGTTTCTCAAGATCCAGAGCATTCAACCCGATTAAACGATCCCGGAACCAGTTCGTCGATTCCAGCTGCGTCCCATCAAGCGGGAGTTGAAGCCCCCGCGGTTTCCTCGCCCAGTTCCGGCGGTGAGAGCGTCGGGGCGGTGAGCAAGGAAATCGCACGCGCCGTGTCGAGTCCCGGCGGCGCAGCTGTCGGCGAAAGCGTGCGGCGGCGTCGTGCAAGCGGCTCTCATCAGCGACACCGTAGCGCGTCACGAGAAAGGGACAGAGAGAGGGATCGGGAACGAGACCGGGAACGTGCCCGACACACTAGCCGGGAACGGGTGCCTCGGGATCAGCATAGGGCGTCCGTTGCGGTCATGGAGTCGTCATCGGAGGCGGAGGGGCGACGCGAGCGAAGGAAAAGTCGAGATGGCGAATCGTCGAGGTAAAACACGTTTTGTTTCATCAATCCTACGTCACTGTAGTATGATTATTCGAGCTTTGATAAACTGTGCCCAAATGTTGATTTGTTGAAAGGGAACTAGGATACCGTCGTGATTTGATGAGCTTTTTCTCTGGCAGATCGACTATTCCCCGTTTTTCACACTAGTACCACACTTTTCGGGATTTGCGAGAATATAATGCAAACAATCAAACCGCCTTTTGGCGGGTTGAAGGGGTTGGTGCTTTGCCCATGAGTTCATTTTTGAAATTGCATTATTTTATTTCCCTTCAAAACTAGCAGAAAGAAATCTTATCTAAAAATTGCGGAAGCCTCCAATAAGTACATCTCGTGATGGATTCCTCTTTCAGAAAACGAATTTTACTCCACCAAACTCATTTGAACTTTACCATTAGGTCTATGCATTGGTCAAAAGAATAAAGATTTTTTATTCTTTAAAATAAGAGATCCTGGACAGAAAGTATAATTCCACCCCAACTTTGGCGATGTTTAGATTCTGTAGAAGACAAAACTGATGCCTAACAGCCCTTTTGTTCCATCTTCCATCATTAATGTTGTCGGATGGCTGTTGGTGTCTTATCGATGTTTTCTAAGCCCCTAGGGTATTTAACAAAGAGTAGGTTTGTAGAATGCAAAATTTTGGCGGTTGCCGAGGGGGCGTCTTATCGGGGTTTGACAGTACTACGGTAGGTCAGTCTCTTCATTCTCGTTGTGTAAGCTCAATTTCGTCATTTTGATTATATTCAGGATGTTCGGTTACTCGTGATATTCTATGATCTGGGCAAAGTAACTCTATGATTAGCTCAAGTAGTACGAGTTTTACGGTAATTCTGGCCGTGGATCTGAAGACTCGAATTTGATTAAACGAATACTGTGCAATATTTTGATCACAACTCTTGAATTAAATCACAGAAATATTTTTGGGTACATTTGAATGGCGCCGAACGGTATTGCGGAACTGAGAGGCACCTTTGATGAGCTTTATATCGGGAACTTCGTTACAGTTCACGCGCTCAGCCTCAAATGCCTCCGACGCCGTCCAGGCCTTTGCCCGAAACTCCAGCGAGTAATCCGGAGCCGCAGACGCCCGAGAGGGTGGCGTGTTCATCATCTGTGTCGGAACCATCTCCTGCGGTACCCGCTCTTGCTGCGAAATCACAACCCTCTTCCTCTGGGTTAGCTACGCCTTCGAGGAGTAGGCAGAAAGCTCAACCACAGGTTCCCGCCAAGCAATCATCTTCGCGAAGTGGTCGGGATGCCTCCAAAGATTCGCCTGCTAGAAGTCTTTCCGGAGCTTCCAGTACTCGAAGGTCGCAGAGTAAATCGAAGGACTCTCTCAAACCCTTGATTCAACCGAAAAATCTTCCAGAAGGCTATGGTGAGTTTTTCTCCGCGTGGAATGTTTTTATCTCGAGTGTTTATCATTGATTTTGATGCGTCCTTCAATCCATATACGAAGAATCTTACGATGTCCGAATTGTTGAACATAAAGGAGACTATACTTTCGCGAAAGTCTTGAGCTGTCCGAAAAGTTGTTTTGTGGTAGAAATTGTTCAGATGAAGCAATGTTAAGTTAGGTGAAGTTTTTGCAAAATTTCTGCACTTACGCCTACAGGAAATTCTGGAAATGTTCCTCAAAGGGCCGAAAAACATTTCTGTTTACGACTGTTCTTTTTAATACTGCATAGACTTTTAAAGCGTTGGTTCATTTTCTTGACTTTCATTTGATCTTCTAAAACTCCACTTCGTACGAACGTTTTCCGTGGTACAGCAACCTTTTGGACGCGCCATGTGTTGACGGATTCTCTTGTGGAAATAGTTCATTCTTATAAAATTAAATTCATTGTGGAAGACCGGCGTGTTCAATTAATTCCGGCAGTAAAGCCTTCGCGGCACTTCGAAAAATCGTCGCATAGAATCGTAGAACGAATGGTTTTAGAGAAATTCCGCTTGTACGGTATCAACTTCGCGTGAATTTCTCCCATTTCAGCGCAACATTTTGGACGCATAAGATATGATGCGTGAAATTTAAAGTTGGGTAGGAACTCGTGTCCATTTCTTCGGGTTCAATGAAAAACATTAATATGAATCCTTTTTTGATGCAGAAATGAGGAGAACGCAGCAGGGTCAAGTGTATTTCTACCATTTACCCTCCGGCGTAAGCACTTGGCATGACCCGCGAGTGCCGAAGGAGTTGCGCATGAAAGCGAATGTGGAACTGGGTGATTTGCCACCCGGTTGGGAACGTCGTTATACAGCATCAGGTCGCCCATATTTCGTCGACCACAACAATTGCACCACGCAGTTCACTGACCCTCGTCTCGCGAATTTGAAAGTTCCTGCAGCATCTCCTCCGTGAGTTATTTCATCTCGTGATCCATTCTGTTTCGAGCTCTCATTTGAAAGCCTTGGTGGAGGAATATACAGTAATTTTTTCTCACGAATTTCAAGTTTTGCGCCAAAAATACTCATTACTGCGTTAAATACGTGAGTCGCGGATCAACGTGGTCGTGGTGCTTTTTATTGTTCAAGACCCTTTTTTGACCGTTGCAAATTCTTCTCTTCATTCGCAAATTGAAAAAAATTGAAATATACCCGATGGGTTATAAAAATGGCCTTTGCAATGCAGTGATTGCAAATTCCGACCGGTCTATCGCTTATCGGTAATTAACCGTAGTTATCTCTGATTAGATGATGGGTCGATTGCCGAAGATATCATAAATCTATTAAGGCAGCAATGATGAATAACAGGGAAAGGATTGATGGGTGTGGGCCGTTACATGCTGTTGCTTTTCATTAGAATCGTGGGTAAACCTACGAATCTTATAGAATTCTACGCAGAAGTGGAACGATAATCGTGCCTCACTAAGCGTTTTCATTTTTGCGCAAGATCACATGCACATCAGCTGCCAATACTACTCTACTTGGCTAGTTCATTGCCTTAAGGATGACCTTTTCGTTACTTTTGTAATATTTTGCTTCAGCCCTACGGGGAAAGCAAAATACTCAAAAGTCAAATACAGTACTCTTTCTGGGCTACGTAACTTTCTTTATGCGTCGAGTTGAGTGTGATTTGTTTTCTCTCAAAATATTGCGCTTAAGTTGAAATGATACGAATTTCAATGTAAATCGGGTACAAGATTGCGATTTAAAAAAGTGGAAGGTGTCGTAATGCACCAACTCAGTTCTGTTGCGATAAAGCGCATGAAAATTACTGTACCGAGAGAATAAGTCGACTCTCGGAAGTACTGGAGTAATAGACCATTACCGTCAGCTGATGTATGCGGGATCTAGTCGGAAATGGAGGAATCCTCGTGTATCCCGTTTGCTACTTTTTTTTTAGCTTATGCTAAACTTTTTTTTTAGCGGTATGTGTTATGTTGAGCTTCTATTAGGAATCTTTTTCAAAAAATGTTGAATTACATGATTTCTCGAATTTTATTTTGCCTTCCGTGTTCACAAGACTGTTGGTCATAACGATGTGCTTCTTCGGTATTTTTGGATAGGCAGTTCTGTTTCTGAGAAAGCCTCAACGTGAATGTTTGGTTTTTTTTTTCTCGCCATTATTTTCTGCTTGACGTTCGTGTTCGCTCATCTTGAAATAATAGGGAAACGAACGGAACGTCAGAGGCAGCGTCGGATGCACCGAGAGCAGCAGCTCCGGCTGCTGGCGCTGGTGCAAGTTCTTCAAATCACCACCGTCGAACCGGAAGTTCCGGAAGCGGACGTCGAAGCAGGAGTAAACCGGAACCGTCTCGGATTCCTCGACCCGTCGCTTCAGTAGTGAATTCCGGCGGAGACGTGATCATAAATAGCAATGCCCGGGCGAATGAACCGTTGTTGACAACGTCGGATCCCGTCGTGCCGGCGCCTGCAGCCTCGGTTCCGGTCGTACCGGAAAAAGAAGACATGTTGCCGAGGTATAAACGAGACTTGATTCAAAAGATGAAGGCGTTTCGACTGGAGCTGCAAAGTTTGCAACCTCAAAGTGGTCACTGTCGGCTTGAGGTTTCTCGTGCTGAGATTTTTGAGGTTGGTGTAGAAAATTTTGTATTTTTATAAACTGTGATCAAAACAAGTTGAAGAGAAAAATTCGATCAGTTGAGAGGCGTAGAAGAATCAAGAATCAGAGGTTCGAAAAAAGTTCAGTTAGATGCTGTACTTTCCAGTGACGAAACGGTTGAGCGTGTCTCAAAAATCGCGCATGCAAATATCAGACGAGTTAGAAAAAAATTTATGCGTTGAGCAGTTTTTGAGGTGCTTTTGAACCCCGGTAACTCGAACCTCCCCAAGTGGAATACCTCCCTATGTCGTTTTTTCTTCAAGTTCTAGTCTGAATTCCATTAAAAAAAAATTCATTAAAAACCGCTTCAACTCGAAGGTTTTCCTCCTCGAACCTCTATAAGTTGAAATTTCTGTAAATCTTCGGCTATTATTTCATTGTTACAGGAAAGAGAAAAACAGTAAATCTAATTTGATGTGTTCGAAAAGAAGTGAAAGACTAATTGGGCAAATAAACCCTTGCCTTCAAATTCAGCAACCTAAATTTGAAATCATTCAAGAAGCTGTTCAAGACCCAGATTATGACCAATTTCTACAATATCCTGTAATTATTCTTTCTTTCCCACAACAAAATTGTTCATTTCCTTAATTCAAAGCTTCTAGCTGGTCAGTTTAAGTTCCGACTTGTACAGGTTCGACTGTATTGAACCCAGAACAGATTTTGTTATGACTGTTACTTTCTCAGTTTCTGACAATGTACCCTTTTGACTTGATTTCGTTACCTGAAAAGTTCTTAATAATGTATCATATCCCCATCAATAGAATGGATAATGGGATAAGAAACACTCAGATTTGTATCGCCTTCCGATTTGCAACTGTGGATATCTCTTTGATACCGTTATATTTTTATGTACCATATTTTTTCAACTACGGTTGTCTCTAGATATTCTCCACTGTCATCATCCCTTATCATGGTATTTGATCTCGATTCTAAGTGTTTACAAGCTGGAACTATTAGCGTAAATACTGTATTGTGTTATCGAGCCGCACGAAAGCTACGATTAACGATGGCTCGGATACTGATCTAAACGTTAAAAAGTGGAATTGAGCAAACGCATGTGAATTTTTTTTTAGGAATCTTATCGAGCTTTGATGAAGATGCGACCGAAGGATCTCAGAAAACGTTTAATGGTTCGCTTCCGTGGGGAGGAAGGCTTAGATTATGGTGGACTGGCGCGAGAGTGGCTTCACTTGCTGTCGCACCAAATGCTCAACCCTAGTTACGGACTATTCCAATACTCACGAGAGGATATCTACACGCTGCAGATAAACGCGAATTCTAGTGTAAATCCGGATCATTTATCGTACTTCCACTTTGTTGGACGCGTTCTCGGCTTGGCCGTTTTTCATGGACATCACATCGATGGAGGTTTTACGACTCCGTTCTACAAAATGCTGCTGAACAAACCGATTTCTCTGGATGACATCGAAGCTGTCGACCCGGATTTGCATCGCAGTTTGCAGTGGTTTTTGTAAGTTCGCAGAAATGATTTTTTTTCTATCAAAAACATTTGCATTTTTTTTGGTTTTTTGTCTTTTCTCATCGGAAGTTGAACAAATTTTCTGCGTTACATTAAGGACTAAGGTTCGGTTTATGATTGATGAGATAACTTCAGTCATGCCGTTTTTTTCGTTATCCATAGGGAGAATGAGATTGATGGTGTAATGGAAACTACGTTCTCTGTGGAGCACGATTCTTTCGGAAAGCTGACGATGCACGAGTTGAAACCCGGAGGAAAGGAGATCATAGTGACGGATTCGAACAAGAAAGAGTACGTTCGACTCTACGTGACTTTTCGTTTCATGCAAGGCATTGAGCAGCAATTCATGAGCTTGCAAAAGGGTTTCGCTGAAGTTGTTCCACTTCCGCTCTTACGACCCTTCGACGAAAAGGAACTTGAGCTTTTAGTCTGCGGCATTGCCAAAATTGATCTGTCTGATTGGAAAGCACACACCAGATTGAAAGTAAGCAATGCGTTGAAAAAAAGACGTTCCCATGATTCAGGGAAGGTATTAATTACGGATCATAATTATTATTTTTAGCATTGTTCTCCTGAATCGCGAGTGGTGAAATGGTTTTGGCAAATCGTGGATTCGTATAATGATGAAATGCGAGCACGTCTGCTGCAGTTTGTTACCGGGTCCTCTCGAGTTCCTTTGCAAGGTTTCAAAGCGTTGCAAGGTGAGTTGTTTTGAGAATCAGAATGCATCTGCTATAGCTTGTGAGTAAATTCGTAACCTTCCTTTTCCATTGGCTGAAAGTGCGATCATTTCAACAGCGAGCACGATTGAGACAAAGCAAAGCAATACAAATTCGAGAATGTGTAAGGAATTCGAAGTAGGGATCTCGGCGAATTTTGAAAAGGTTTCAGAAGATTATCAAGCCGTGGATTCAAATCTTCCCGCATCAACGTCCGATCTCGCTTGCCGATGTAATAGACAATTCTCGCTTGAATCTTCAAGTGTAGAAATGACTTCATTCTAATTAACTTGACTTATCTTGGCGTACATAACCGCAGCAGTTTCAAATCCTTAGAACTTGACCCAACTTCGATCCAAGCAAAACTGAAGTGCATAGATTTAACCTGCGAAGTAATGCTGTATATCAACAAAATGATGGAATTTCGGTCGTCGGGCATTGAGTGATGAGAATTTTTAGCTCCCAAATGTCTTGTATTTTTGTCTGGCCCGTAGCTAATTGAGTGTTATTCCAAGCATTTCGTTGTGCATGATCTCATTTTTGATTGAAAAGTGAAAAAAAAATGACCAGAAAACCGCTTTACGTTTATAGGCTCCACTGGAGCAGCGGGACCAAGGTTATTCACAATACACGAAATTGACGCGTCGACCGACAACTTGCCAAAAGCGCACACTTGCTTCAACCGCATCGACATCCCGAAGTATGAAACTTACGAAAAGATGTTCGACAAGCTCACTCAGGCTGTGGAAGAAACGTGCGGGTTTGCTGTGGAGTAGGTTTGTTGTCAGTTGCGAGGAAAAAGAGGAACGAATTTTTGCAAAATTTGAAATGCTGCGAGAAGCGTAAGTTTCCAGTTTTTTTTCGCCGTCTTTCGGGCGTTTATTGAAAACAGATCTTGCGAAATGGATTTCTATCGATTTTCGTTCTTCCGCGTCGCTTGTAAGGGAAAGAATCTAATGGAAATGGAACTCGTCCGTCACATGAATATTGAAACCTGTTGTTTTGTGTTGGGTTGGTGGCGAAGCTCGAGCTTTGGTTTTTTTTTGATGAAGGAGATATGCTCTGTGTTCTCCTATGTTGTTCGTGAAGTTGGTGATGTCGTCCAGCTTATTATGGAAGGAGGAGCTAGTTGAAGGCGCTCTGCTTATGTTGTGGATTGATCGTATCAGAAAGACGTCGTTTTTTGTTTATACACACCATTAGCCCATGATTTTATTTTATGACCCTCATGAACCCACTGTTCTTCTGCTTTGAATCTTTTTTTATCGCAACACATGAGCATCACTTGAGACATTGTGATATTTTTTGTGCAAGTACAGGTTTTTATTTCTTTGCTGGCCTACCGGATATATCATGGCTAGGATATTGCAAAGCAAGGATGGTTTTTTTCGAGTACATGTTTTGTGGCTCTCTCATTTTAGTGTGCGACTTCTGCCTTCATCTAAATTGAATTTATGTTCCACTCGACTGTCTCGCTCTGTTTGTGTACGTCGCAGGGGAGAGTTGCGCAAATGCAAAACCAGTCAGGTGCGCTTTTTCCGGGAGTTAAATGCCGATATTTTTTCTCTCCTGCATGTTTGTCGATTCCGCTTGCTTTCTTATGATATGACGAATGGAGTTCTTTCGTTTTCTTTCCAGGATTTAGCTTTTTTTTTGTTCGACTCTGGAAGCTCTCTGGCGAAGCCATGGAATCCAGGGGGGTGTTTTCGTACGAAAACTTTGTCCATGCCTTGGCCGGATCAGCAGTAAGTACTTGGAAGAACTTCCTAACGTGCAGAACTTCCGCATCGCAAATTTTTTATGTTTGTTAGTTACATGTATATTCTCTTCCAGGGAAGCGTTGTTGCGTTGACGTCGTTTTTTCCTTTGGACACTATTCGTTCGCGGTTGCAACGTGAGTTATTTGCTATTATTGAAGCTAACTTTTTTGCAATTGTGATCGACGATCCATGCTGAGATCTTGAGCTTTTTTTGTCGCGATTAGATTTCAAGATATTTTTTCTTTTTCTCTTTAGTGGAGGATGACAGAGAATCCAGGACCACTTTAGCGGCTGGAGTCGAACTTGTGAAAGAAGAAGGGGTGTAAGTTGAGATTTCATTGCGAAAAAATGCCTGAAAAGTGTTCAATTTTTAGTCTTTTTACGAACTCTGTTCTTCGAATAGATGGACGCTTTATCGAGGAATGGTGCCAGTTCTGCAGAGTTTGTGCGTTTCCAATTTTGTTTACTTCTACGCATTCCATGGCCTTAAGGGTCTGTTCATTGCCAAAGATCAGAATGCTCTTAGAGATCTTGCCTTCGGCTGCGTGGCAGGTTTGTGAATTTGTCGAAGAATCAGAATGACTGTTCAAGCGGTGCTTTTTTTTTCCCCTGCAGGAGCCCTGAATGTTTTGACTACGACCCCTTTGTGGGTGGTGAACTCACGGATGAAGATGCAGGGTGCTAAGATGCGCAAAGCTCCTTCGGGCCAAAGCGGGAATGTTCAGCCTGGTTACGAAGAAGTGAAACTCAAGTACAAAAATATTATTCGTGAGTTTTATTTGATTATTTTGCATGGCTGGTTTTAATTCGCAATCAAACGAATGTGTTCTTTATAGAAACCCGTTAAAATTTTAATGCAGTACGTTCGCTTGGAGCGTGTAATGTTTAATGGAGGTACACAGCAGGAGAGCGTGTCTTGGAAGAACAAATCGCGGAAGAACGAGTTTAAAATCTTCGTTATCCTTGATTAATTTAGTTTGTATTCAAGTGTTGGATGCCGTAATATATTTTACCATTGTTGTACAAAATAACGACGATCTTTCCATTAACTTTCCCATATTTAGATTCTTCATGAGGCAGCAAAGTTGTCTCTTGAAGACGATAATTTGAGTCCTACCGTTTTTCTTCGATTAGCTGATTATCGAGGCGGATGCACTTCGTTATTTGCGGGAAAATTAGTTACAAGTTTCATTTGTTTTCACCTCAACAGCATATTTGATGGACGAATTTTTTCGTCACCTTCTTTGATCACACCGTGACACCGTGAATATCTGTCGCCCCGGCCCGATCGTTGAACCATAATTGTAATCGAGAATTGTACTTCTGCATATGTGCGAATTTATCCACTCTGTTTTGCTTTTTTTCGGCATTTCCTCTTCCGTTTTACCGCATGACAGCGTCCGGTTTCATTACAGTATTTTTAATGTTGACGTTCTTTATCAAAATAGTAACGATTCCTCATAGATAATCTGGCATCATGGTATATTGCTATGAGATTTTCATGATGGATTTGCTCATTGCGAATGGCTGTCTTCAGTCTCCACTCATATTTCTTAACACTATTGCAGATGGATTGTCAAAAATATCTGAAGAGGAAGGAGCGACTGCTTTATGGTCGGGAACGGTGCCGTCGCTGATGCTCGTTTCCAACCCGGCAATTCAGTTCATGGTTTACGAGTTTCTGAAACGGCGCACAATTGGTAACGGCGGAGGAAAGAAGGAACTGATGGCCATCACCTACTTCTGTATGGGAGCAATGGCGAAGACCGTAGCGACAGTATTCACGTACCCGCTTCAGATCGTGCAATCCCGTTTGCGAGTGAGTTTTGATGGTTTTACGTGAAAGTCAGCTTTTCGATGAGAGGAGGTCTCAAGGAGAGTCGTATGCGCGGAATAAATGACTTGGTCATTACGTTCGGCCGTTTCCATCGTTTTTCTGATTTTTCAAAATGCTCCCATCTCGTGTTTAAAAAAAAAAAGGAAGATGTACCGTTTTGTTCCGTGATTGCCCTTGAAGCTTGAATCGTTGGATTCGCATCCCAAGCTTGAATAGTGTATCACCTCTAACCTGTGCCCTTTTATTACAGTTCGGAGGAAAATATCAAGGGGTTCACAAATCCATGGGAGTGCTGGAGATCATGCGAACCATTTTAAGGTGTGTTTTAAATTTTCGGATTCGAGGGAAGATAATTTTTCAGGGAAGAGCGGAATCCAAAATTTGAGAATCCGTAATTCCTTGGGTTTCCCTTCCATTGTACTTGGAAGAACTTCGGAAATTTTCTTCTCCGGTTATTGAATGTGTTACACATTCCCTTATTCTGCTTTACAGGACGCAGGGCTTCATTGGTCTGTACAAGGGTCTGGAGGCTAAACTTTTGCAGACGGTACTCTCTGCTGCGCTCATGTTCTTGTGCTATGAGAAGATCACGTCGTTCGTTTTCTTCATCCTGGGCGTCCACAAAAAACTGAACGCACGTTCATGAATTACTCGAAAAAGAAAGGAAGACCAAACAAGGACTTGGTTGTCAGGTGCACGAAGTTACTTCTTATGCCAGTTGTTGGGGTCGGTGGGGAAAAATAAGGCTGAGGTTAATCTATTTTTTTGGGAATTCAGATTGATGGCAGCTTCTTCCTCGTTCTTTGAATTTTTGGTAACCGATTATGTACTTCGGCGTTTAAGGTGTTCCGAAGTGATCTCTTGTATGTTTACCGGAATTTTTGCGAATACTCGCTGATTTTAGCAGCATGGTTGTGGTGATACAGTGGCTGGGAGGCAATTTTTAAAGAATAAAAAGCTATTAGTGAAAGATTTCTGGTGTCCAACTTTTTCCATTTTCCTCGTAAAAATCAATCTCTTTTTTGCACTTTTGGGCCACAGAGATAATTTCCGCGTGTTTCCAATATGTCCTTGCGACAGTGGTACGTGAAGGGCTCTCCGGCGTTTTCGACGACGCTCGGTGTTGGGAATTCTGCATTAGGCTGATGTCACGGTTTCTTCACCGGGAAGAATCAGTGGAACTTCGGACAATTTAAATGTACAGTATTTCTGCTTCTTGTCCGCATCATTGAAAAAATCCTCCGAACATTTTTTTGGAATCTTGGAACGCGATCTTCGGCAAAACACTATATTCCCGGGGGATGATGAATGCGAACCGGTTCGAATATCCTGAGATTTTAACATTCAAGTCGAATGCAAGATTTATGTGAGATTTCTGCTGATCTAAAACTTGTTTTTGTGCATCAGAAAATTGTTCATGTTTAGAGAATATTCATACCCTTCTTAAGTACCGTATTTACGTGAATGCCAAGCGCACATATTTTGAACAAAATCCAGGTGGAAAAGAGGGTATGCGTGTCGTATGCAGAGATGAACTTCTGAAATAAAAAAGTTATCCAACTAATGGTCAAGTCATGAGTGATTTTCCTCTTGCGAAAATATTCAGCAGGGAATCCTGTTTGCTACCAATCTTGTTAAAATTCTCCACGTTTCTTATTAATCAATGAGAGTATATAGTGTAATGTTCTTACTGTATTTGTAAAAAAATCAAATTTTATCCTTTTAAAATTGGGGTGAAAGTCTTATTTGAGGAATGGGGATAGTGTTTTGGGATAATTTCAGGCCAAAATACTAAACTAAGGTGCACGTCTTTCTCCTGGTCATGAGGTCCTCCAGTGGATATGATACATGTTTACTCCACAATTAAACTCAATAAGGGACCATATGAATTTGTTGTAGAGATAATGTTGTTCTTGAGACCCTCTATAACACGTGGAGAATACCCCATGGGATAAAAAAATCATCATGCAGATAAATTTGTTGTGGACAAGATTTTCTAGAGTGAGTCCACCTGTATTGATTGATATACATTACTGCTGTACTGTACAAGCTGTATTTGCTGCTGTTCAGTGTTCACAATAAGATTCAACAATTTCCCCCCAACATGCGCCATTCAACACATGCCAGCATATTGGAAGAAAATATAGCTAATTATTGTGATTTGTGAAGTACTCACAATAATAATGTGAATTTTTGGGAAATTAATTCTCTATAGGTTGAAAAAAGGACATCACAGTACATATACAAATGCATGAATAATGATTTGCCATAATCTTTGCTTTGTGGACAACAGTAATCACAGCACAAAGCTAATACTGAGCATGAATTGAAGCAAAAGGTGTTCAGCCTGTTCCCGGATAATTTTAAATAACTAATTGAACAATTCAGAAATAATCTTTGAAGAGTGATCATAGCTGAAAGCTGCAAAAGGTTTTCCTGTCCCTTCAAGATTTGAGAAATTACCTTTTTTTTTACAGCATTAGTTACCAGGGCATGAGTTCACTATCGGTAATAATCGCATATGAATACGCGGAATGCGTTACGCACGGCGCAATTTATTTTCGAATCTTCATCAAGATGCCAGCAGCTTATGAGTCACAGTAAACCCCCATATATATACTCCGTGAAGAGATTCTCTGCCATTTTCCGTTTGTTTCTCCAGAAAAGTGACCATGATGCAGGAGAGAAGTGGGAACCCCCCTGCTCTCGCTTCGGCAATCACTGGATGTCCAGGCATCAACACCCACTCCTCCTCTGGCCAGGGTCATCTTCCTTTCCGCTCGAGTTCCAGCAGCCCGAACCGCTGTATAGTTCTCGCGAGCAACTTGATTTCCCTCGAGGGCGCCGGACGTGGGAGAGTTAATCCGCGCGTTTTCAGCGCGAAAAACGATGTCGTCGGATTTTTTCCCTTCGTCGTCGTCGTCTTGCAGAGAAGCCTCTTCTTTCTTTTCCGGCCCGAAGCCCCAGAAGTGCTGTTTGACTTTCAATCCCATTGCCCGTCGCGTCCTGTTCGGGCGGGTCACTCAGTCACCTAAATGCTGGGCATTATGGGACAAACTAGGATGCTGTGTGCTGTGTGGAGTGGCGGGTGTGCATGGGTGAGACTTGTCCCGAAGGAATTCCCGTGTATGTACAATACAACCTACCTTTGTTTTCCACTGGCTTGCGTGTTTCTTTTCTTCTCGTTGGTTCCCGAGTTGACGATGAATGTTTCGTTCTTCTCGCTGATATGCTCTATTCTCTATATAGCTCCTCTTTCTTGCCAGGTGAAAATTCTCGCCTCTCGCGCTTGCCACCGAAGCGTTTTCTAATGCTTCTGCCTGCTCATTTTTTTTTTTCATCTTGCGCAGTGCAACTATGTCGTGTCTTCCTCTGCAAAATGGTCGTGAAGACATTCTTCCGTAACAAGTCTATATATAACTATAGTTGAACCTTGATGACTCGAACCTCCCAAAGCCATCTCTAGATGTTGATTTCTGTCTGAATTCCCTTGTTAAGAGCTAGGCTCTAAAAATCTCCCCGACTGGAAGTTTTTCTCCCTCAAACCTCCGTAAGTCAAACATGAAGACAAGACGAAAATCAAATTTTAAAAATAGATTTTGAGAGGTTTAAAGTTGTAAAAGGTCAGGGAAATTAGGGAAAGGTTTGCTGTAACTGCTGCTGCATGTGCGTACAGCAGTGTACCGCCCCATGTCCGAAAGCATTTCCTAAAATATTCCCACTACATATGAAAAAGGCAAACCAGTGCGATGTCAATTGACCAATGAGAATTTTAATTATCAACTCTGATGGGGAATGCGCTGAGGAGTAACTTGAAAAAGTTGAGACTCCGCGATTTTTCTCATTAGATTTTTGAATTTATTACTTTTGAGCTTTGCCAATGAGAATACCAATGCACTTCAACATATTTATTGACGGAGAGGAATTGGAAAAATTTAGAAAGGTGTTGAAAAAATAGGTTTTGTTCCTTTCATGCAAGAATTATTTGAAAGATTTGGTGGATACAAAATTCAGAATTCAGATTCTACATGGAGTTTAATCTTTTGAAACAGCTTTTATCCATATTTTCACTCATTAATACATTTTCTTGAAATTTAATTATGTTTCATAGTTGGAATATGGTACAATGCCGAATTTTTAGGTTCCTTACTGAATCAAAAGTTATAGGTAAAATTTAAAACATTGAATGAAGCATTCATTATTATTTGAAAGCCAATTAAGTTGGAATTTTTGGAATTTATTCAAGAAGAGATATGTTTTTCAGCATGCATATGTATTACTGATTTTAAGCTGCATTTAACACATTCCAGATGCAAGAGACATCTGAGTGCTGAGTCAGTTACTCAGTCTCCAAGGGAATTTAAGTTGAAAGTGCAAGACTACATCATGACTGCAAAAAAAGGGAAACTGGAAAATCCTCATTCCTTGGATGTTAAAAGAAAACTTCATCATTGTCTCTGATCACAGGTTTCATAAAGACAACAATCACACACACAATCAGCAAATACAATCTTGCATTATGGAGTAAAAACTTTCTTTCAAAAAGAAATACAATCAGCAAAGAAAACATGATTTGCCTATGGTGCAATTCCCAATGTGCAAACTTCTGGAGCAAATAACTCCGAATTTTACACTTGGAAAATTTTGCAGCATTTTAAATTAAAGCTGAAGATGTTCTCCAACTTTTCTTTAATCTATAAAAATTGACCTGATTGACAGATCTTGAGATATTCTCATGATTCTAAACCTAACTTTTCTTTGGTGATGAGAATCTGGAAAACCTTCATGACAAAAAAGAAGAAAAAAAAAGATCTGACAGTTTTTCTTAAAACTGCTGTAGTTGAAAAAAAAATCCACGTCAGCTCTTCTCTCTGTGAGATGATCCAATTTTCTTCATGTGCGTTCGAATAAATATTCATTTACTTTATGAACAGGATAAGAAAATGAGGTATTCGTGGTTCGATATCGGGTTGATGGCCGTGTGGCCAGTACTTCTGTTTCAAGCTGTTCCCATGTACATAATTTGTTGCATCTGGCGACGGATCGCGTGGTTCATTGCAAAAAGGCGATTCTTTTGCGGGAAGAATAAGAAGATAGAAATCATGGACGGCCTGGATGCCACGTGGGTGCTGAAAAGCGTCGATGCACCAGAAACCTACGTCAACTTGATCGCAGAGGTACGGATTATTGATAACTCAGTGAACGTATAATATATAGTTTTTTTTATGAAAGTTTAATTTTGATACTCGGTACTGTACTGTATAATATACCATTATTGAAGTGGATGAACAGCAATGGTTGAAGTGTCAATGCCCGCAAGTTTTTCCACATCCTGTTTACTGCAGGGCAGTAAATTGTACTCCAGTAGTCAAGTTGCACATGTATAGGAGGACTAATGCTTTTTAATTGATTTTTATATGGAATAGCATTTTATTGTGCGATCAGATACAGTACAACTTTATATCTTGCCAGAAATTAAATTCCCCAGGCGATATTGACATCCAGAAAAATAAACCTCGATGTTTCATTGCTGGAATACATGTCCAGCGGTTTTCAATTGTATTTTACTGTGTAATATACTTTACATCTAATGGTTCCTTCAAGTCAAGGACTGATATGAAATTCAAATTAAATTTTCGTCATACGAATGCATTTCGTCTAAATAATTCAAGCATGAATTGACTTGAACAGAAATTGAATTTAGTTCAAGTTGAGAAATTTTGTTGTTGCATTCAGTGAAATTGACCTCCAAAAAGGCGCAGGATAAAATGTCGATGCAAAAATTAAGGAGTTGTTACTTTTAAAAATAATTTTAAAGGGATTTTCACTTAAACAATCCTGCAATTACACAGAAAAATATTTTTATACCCAGCAATTTTTCTTATTTTCGTAGCCGTGACAACAGTAGAAAAAATTTCGGTAGCACTCTGATTATAGATCGATAGAGTACGAATATAGATTTATTTTCCAGA